GAGCACAGAACGAAGCACATTGCTCTTCGGTACTTCCTTGCTCGTGAGCTGCAGCAGCGTGGTCAGTTGCGTCTTGCTTACGTGGCCTCTGAGGCCAACACTGCTGATATCTTTACCAAGGCACTTCCGCCTTGTGATCATCAGCGCTGCTGTACGATGCTAGGTCTTGTGCCTACTTGGCCTCACTTGCTCACTTCTTGACCTTGCTTGTACTGTGATCTATCTATACCTGCACTTGCTTGTTTACTTTATATATGATCCTGCATGTGAACTGGCCTTGTGGCCTTTGAACTTGTGCTCGGAATGTGTGGTGACGTTGGGATCCACCCTGAGCTTGCTTTGCTTTGCTTGACTGGTCTTGTGACCCCTTGTTCTCCCCCACTTTGCCTATGGGGGTGTGTCAGACTTATATGACTTAGCCTGTGTAGGCTGTAGTGGGGTAGCACATATGGGGTACAATATTTCTAGGGTTTGTACTTGTACCCAACCCTTGTACTAGTCAATCATTCCTCGTTTCTTAACAATTTACATAAACTGCTCGCCGACGTACCGGATGACTTGGCAGCACTCCTGAAGCGGTACAGTGGGATATTTCCGGATGACCTGCCGACGGGACTGCCACCTCAGCGACCGCACGTCCACAGGATAGAGTTAGAACCGGGGGCACAGCCGACAGTACAGCGACAATTCCGACTGACCCAACCCGAACAGGACGAACTACGAAAGCAGCTGGATTACCTTCTCGAGAAGGGGTTTATCGCCCGAGTTCGTCTCCCTTCGCGGCACCGATACTGTTTACGCCAAGGAAAGACGGGGGTTTTCGCATGTGCGTAGATTACAGAGCACTTAATAGGGTTACCATCAAGTCCCGTAACCCCATCCCGCGAGCCGACGAACTGATCGACCAACTGCGCACAGCCCGGGTTTTCTCGAAAATCGATCTTGAATGAGGTTACCACAAAATTCGCGTCAACCCACCCGACTACCCAAAGACAGCCTTTCGAACACGCTACGGATCCTTTGAATAGACTGTCATGCCCTTCGGACTAACCAACGCCCCCGCCACTTTTCAAATGACGATGAACGAAGCCTTCCGCCCGCATTTAGATAAGTGTGTCATCGTCTACTTAGATGACATACTGATTTACAGTCCAGACAGAGCACAGCACCTACAGGACATCGAAGCATTTTTTAAGATACTGAATGAGAACCGCCTACTGACAAAAGCCTCTAAGTGTGAGTTTTTGGGACACATTATTTCAGCTGAAGGAGTGGAAATAGACCCAAAGAAGATCGCGACGATTCAAGCTTGGCACGCGCCGACAAATCTGACCGAGCTGCAGAGTTTTTTGGGCTTCGTCAACTACGTGCGCCGGTTCATCCCTGACATGGCGAAGTTGACTGCTTCGCTGACCGACCTGCTGAGGAAGGGGATTGAGTACACGTGGGGGGAGAAAGAGCAAGCTACCTTCTTGGCACAAGCAAATTTTGTGCTCAGCGCCCGTGCTCCACATCGCAGATCCGCACCATCCTTTCGAACTCGTCACCGACGTAAGCGACATCGACGTGGGAGCAGTACTGTTGCAGGACTTCGGGAACGGCCTCCAGCCAATCGCGTACGAGTTCCGCAAACTTCACCCGCCCGAACGCAACTACCCGATAAATGACCGCGAAATGTTGGCGTGCACGCGTTAAAAGTGTGGAGATGCTACCTCACCGGAGCAGACGTGACAGTACGGACAGATCATCGATCACTAGAGTAGCTCCGCGCCCAACCAAATCTCAATCCGCGACAGATCCGCTGGTTGGACTATCTGGAGTCCAACTTCCACTACACAGTCACGTACAAAAAAGGCGCATCAATTATAGCCGACGCACTCACACGTCCTACCGCCCAACTCCATGCCATCCTACTCGCCCAAACCAACCCACTACTAACAGGCCTATTCACCCACGGATACCGCGCCGACCCATTTTTCACGACCGGAAATTCACAGCAACTCGCAGAAGCAAAGGGAGTCAATTACGTAAAAGCAGGCACCAACCGCATCTGGGTACCCGAGTACTCACTACTGAGGAAAGTGTTACTGCAGGAGGCACACGACGGAATTACCTCGGGCCATTTCGGGGTAGAAAAAACGCGACAGCAACTGCAGCGGTATTACAACTGGCCGGAGCTGTTGACCGACGTACGGCACCACGTGGGCTCGTGACCTGCGTGTCAGGTGATGAAGAGCTCGCGAAAGAGAAAGGCGGGTCAGTTGCAGCCGATGCCACCGCCCAAGCGCGCCTGACAGCAGGTTACCATGGATTTCGTCACGGGGTTACCTTCAAACCTTGGGGGTAACGACACGGTTATGGTTGTCGTTGACAGATTGACGAAAATGGCACACTTCGCTGCGTGCAAGAAGTCGATCTCAGCCGAGGAAACCGCTCACCTGTTCATCGAAGCTGTTGTTCGCCTGCACGGGATGTCAGCAGCCATAATCAGCGACAAGGACACAAAATTTACCAGCAACTTTTGGAGGAACCTTTGGGAGCAGTTCGGGACAAGGCTACAGTTCAGCTCGTCGTACCACCCCGAGTCCGATGGTCAAAACGGAGCGGACAAATCAGACGATGGAGCAGTTGATTCGTGCCACGCGCGACGACCCGACAACCTGGGAGCAGCAGCTGCCGCTGATCTAGTTCGCGTACAATAACGCCACGTCAGCGACGACGCAGCAGTCCCCGTTTTACCTGAACTACGGGCAGAAGCCAACAGTGCCCATGACGCCGAGTCCGGACAACCCTACGCCACACTCTCAACAATTCGCCGAGATTCTGCAAGCTGCTCGCAGCAGAGCCGCAGAAGCAATTAAAAAGGCCAATGTCATCGCTAAGCGCAACGCTGACCGCCACCGCCGCCCAATCACGTACCAGTCAGGAGATTACGTACTACTCGACACACAAAACTTACGACTGCCCGATGTACCAGAACTCCGACCCCGCTACTGTGAACCTTTCCAAACCAGCCACATGATTACACCAATAACCGCCCATCTATTGTTGCCGACCGACTGGTACATCAGCCGATCATTCCACGTCAGCCTGCTTCGCCCCCACATTCCGACCACAAGCCAATTGCCTCGTCACCGCCCATCCTCCATGACTCGCCCTGCATCGGAGCCGATCATCGAGTCGATCATCAAGCCCGAAAAAATCATGAACCATCCGATTCGACACCCTAGAGTCAACAGGAGGATTGAATTCCTCGTTCGCTGGAAGGATTGCACGCCAACTGAGGATAGCTGGGTGCCTCTGGCCAACATCGAACACCACCCTGCCCTGCAAGTGTACCCGAGGAGCCGGGGTTTCCGCGATATACACGCAGTCGCGCAGCGGAGGGGGCTTTTTGAGGGGGGGGGGGGGGGGGGGTGGGGGGTAGTGTAAGGAATTTTCTCGACATTCCTTACCGCGACCTGCAACATCGCGTACAGCAGAAGCCGTTCTTCGCCCGTTACTGCAAACAGGGCTTCGCCGACTTCGCGCGCACTGTTTCACCAACCATGCACCGTTGGCCCGGCTGTGTCGGCCTACGTTTTGAGACTAGCCCGAGCCTCGATGCCAGCCCAGCACTAGCTAGCTCGCACGCACCGCGTTACCGTTTGCATGTTTTGCGTATAAATGTTCGCTTATGCCTTCGCTCACATTTTGTACTTGTTTGATACCTTAGTGCAGTCCTCACTACCTAGATCCATTGCACCTGTAACATTCGAACACTCTTCTTGAGGTCCTATGTCCTTTTTATAATTGTTAGCGAAGTGAATCAACCATGATATGCTGCTGTCAATCGGGTCAACGAGTACAGATGTTGACACTCGCTAAGCAACTCAAGTCCTGAATTTGATTTGGAAGGACCTAGTGGAGGAGGCTGGATACAGCGTCGTGTGAGATACGCCACCATACTCCACCACCACCATATCTGCCCTGCCGCGTTAATCTCGACACGTGGGAATCAGGGATGTCTTTCGGGACTCATTGGGATGGGATTTTTCCCACCTTCACGTGAAAAATTCCTTGTTTACATTTTCAGAGTTTCCTCCGAATATTCAATGGCGTTGCACATCACGGAACCTACATCGGTAATTGGTTAAGTAGGGAAAGAACCCCTTTGGTGCTGCTACTTACCCTTAGGGATAACAAGCGCAGCAGAACCTGAATTGAAACGCTGGCCTGAAATGCAAGGCTGGCAGCTGGAAGGCTGTCAGCTGCCTGCAAAATCTGCACTGTCTGAGCAAATCTGCACTGTTCGTGAACATCAGAGGATACGGTGTCGCCCTCTGGAATCATGCATAATGTCGTTCCCCCCATTGTTCGTGCCGTGTACTTATCATAATTGTTCTGCTCCACATGGGTCTGATTGGAAAGTACGGTGCAGAATATAAGCGGAGGCTTATATCTCGGTGCGTCCTGGTTGACTCGTTCCACAATGTATTTGTTTTCTAGAAGAACGAAAGCGGAGAATCCAAAAGTGATTCTAACGAGAACACATAAGGCGCCCCTGTCCAACATCAGGCATCCCCCTTTCAACCGCGAGTGGAAGTGTCAATCGGTACAAGTTGCAAATGAGACAGCGTTCAGTGCTTTTTGTTTCGTCGTGTGGTTCGCACATTCTGCATTCCTAGGGTTGGTATTGCTACCAATGTTTCAATTCCGCCGTCAAGTGAGACTAAGGTCATGTTAGAAGCAGCAAAATACTCTGGGAACTACATTTCTAAACACCACCTGATTTTTTTCGTATTCAACAGAGAAACACCTCGCCACCAGTTGCTCTGCGGCTATCAGACACACCCGTCAAGCAGGTAAAAGGAACACTAGCACTTCGACGCACATCCGTAGGACCAGTGGGATTAGTAGGGAATAAATTAGTCACGCACCTTATTTACAGCAATATATCAAGCTCTCCTCCTAACAGTAGTTTCGCGGGATTCTGACTGTATATATATTTTTCTCTAGCAATGCCTTTTAGAAAAAAACAAATCTCTCCTCCACCCACTAGTGGCGGTCTAGCCGCTGGCGAAGCCGACGCAGCGACCCCACGTGGCGGCGAAGACGATGGCGAAACCGCGGCAAAGCGCGAAAGTTTTAACCTCGTCGCATCTGCTGACGTGTGGCAAGTGCTCGGACCCACTACCAGCGCCACCGCCGGCGGCGGCGTCGGAACAGGAAACCCCGAGAGCGTCAGTGGCGGCGGCGCAGGAAGTACTACCGGCGCGACTGACAGTGGCGAATGGCGGGCGGGAAGCGGAGAAGGCGCCGCCGTGATTCACGGCGGAGCGGTCGGGTTCGGTAGCCCTGGCGCGTCTTCCGGCGCCACTTGGAACGTCGACCACGGAAGCGGACGCGGCCTCGCCGCGAGCGCCGCCGGGAATGGCGCCGCAGTGGGCGGTGACGAGACGGGAGAGCAGGGCCGGGCGTTGCGGCAAAACTTATCTGGGATGAATTCGGAGGGAACGAAGCAGACGCTGGAAATTATGCTCGAGGATGGGTTGCAAATGACAGTGGAGGTTGATTCCGGCGAACGGCTTCTTAACGAGTTGGGATACAAACAGGAATTGCGACGGCGGCTGGTGAGTGGTGCGGTTTCAAGGGCGGAACTGGATGAAGCTTCGAGAGTTGGCGTGAATCACGCTGCTGGGAAGCCTACAGTGGTACACTACATGTTTTGACTTTTTTTATAAGATCCCACAACGTCTTCAAGTCCCGGGTTGAGATAGTAGCATAGCAACGAAATATGCCAGGACCTCGCGAGCTTGAAGCGGTCCGTCGTCTCAATTCCAATCGCGGGTCTCGGGCGACACAAGCTACGGTTATTGACAAAAGCATCGTTCGTGAGTCAATACTTTCAGTCACTTGCTGGTTCCAGGAGCCTCCTGCATTCCCATCCCTGCGTTTCCTTATGCATTCCCCACTGAATTCCCCGCTCCATCCTTCCTGCTTGCCTCGTTTAGTTAACGACCGCGGCGCTACTCGCCTTTCAAAGAGTGGTCGCCTCGCCTCTACAACTTCCTGCCTCCACCCCCCGAAATCCCCCCTTCTCTCATTTTGGCCACTCCCGTAGCCCACTCTCCCGTACCTCTCTTCCCCACCCCCCGTCACCAGCCTCCTGGCCTGCACGTTTTTGTCCTTTTTTTGTCTTTTTTTTTTTTTTTTGAAGGGGGTACATCTAACTTCCTCCCTCCCCATACGCTCCCCCCAAAACTGGCCGTCGCGGGCTAAGGTCAAACGTCGAGTCTATTCTTGTCGTTTGTTTTTTCCCTCGCGATAAAACAAATGATTCGCAAGCAATTTGTTTATCGCCTTGGATCGCGCAAGGGTAAGAAACGAGTACTAGGTTATGCAATCATATGAATTTTCTCGAGTAGAAAATTCGTGGGAGGAGCCGCCGTTTCTCTCTAAGTAACAACATGGAAGCAGATTTTTTCTCGCCAAAATTGCTCATTTGTATTCCCACACACCCCCCCTCTCCCTCTCCCCCACCCCAAAAACCCCTTCCACCCCCCCAATCCCCGCCCCCCACATTCCCTCGTGCAACCACTTGGTGCGCTCTCTTCCTTTTCCCCTGTTCCCCTGCACAGAGTTTCTTTGAAGTCTTCTCTATCGGCATCTCTATAGTCACCTTCTACGCAGGAACAGTGCCCTTCTACTCGTGAGTGCCCTTCATACCAGAAAACGGCTTTCTGAGTTCCCCACATCCCTCCTGGTGGCTCTTGTGTTTTCTAGTCTCAGGAAACGCTTGAGAATAGCTATTAGCCTCTGGATGGACCCTCTGTCTCAAGCTCCCCTCCTGCCTACTTCCCATTCTCTCTCTCTCTCTCTCTCTCTCTCTCTCTCTCTCTCTCTCTCTCTCTCTCTCTCTCTCTCTCTCTCTCTCTCTCTCTCTCTCTCTCTCTCTCTCCCCCCCCCCCCCCCCCCCCCCCCCCCACTCTGCCCCTTTCATTTCAAGATTGACCTTCTTGAACGGCGGCCCTGTGGCGCTGGTGTGGTACTGGTGGATAACGGCCTTTTTCACTCACCTCGTTGCTCTCTCCTTTGCTGAAATCTCCTCAGCTTTCCCGGTACGAACAGCCCTCTCTATAAGCCTTCACCCATCCCTGTTCTGCGTTCCTGCATTCCGTGCCTGGATAACGGCCTTTTTTCACTCACCTCGTTGCTCTCTCCTTTGCTGAAAGCTCCGCAGCGTTCCCTGTGAGTCCCTTTTCCAGTACGTCCCTTTCCTGTGTGCACCACCTGCCTTCTCAGTACGCCCCTCACTCTTTCTTCCTTGGCCGTTCTATATGCCCCACTACACCCTACCATATGATTTCCTGCGTTCCCAAGTGTGGGTCTCATTGAAGTGTTTCTTGACTGATTGTCGAAATCACTCCGAGGTTACCAACTCGACGACCCACCACACATGCAGCGTATCTCAACCTCCCCAAACCCCTCTAAACCCACCCCCATCCCAACCCCTCACTCCGTGCTCTTTCCCTCCGTTCCTACCATAGATTCTGTTCTTGCTTCTCCCTTCTTCCCTGCCCGCTCTTCCCCTCTCCCCCTCCTCCTCGTTCTTCCCCGTTTTCACCTCCCCCCCTCCCCACCCTCCCCCTTTCTTCCCCACGGCCGCCCGCAAATCAGATCTCCGGGTCGCTCTACTTCTGGGCGGCAGCTCTTGCCGGCCCAAAGCACGGCCCCTTTGCCGCCTGGATCACCGTGAGTGCCCTCCCTCTCCTCAACTCCCCATTCACTCCTCCCTCCCCCCTCTTTGCCGCCTGGATCACCGTGAGCGCCCTTCTCCCCTCAGCAACCTTCATTCATTCCCTCCCTCCTTTTGCCGCCTGGATCACTGTGAGTGTCCCGACGTTCTTCCCTTCCCTTCCCCTCTTCGCCTGGATCACCGTGGGGGCCCTTCTCCCCTCACCACCCTTCATTCCATCCCTCCTCTACCCTGCCTGCCTGGATCACTGTGTGTGAGTTCCTTTCCTCGTAGACTCCCTGCGTGATGAGTCGGCTTTTGAGTCGACTCAAAAACCGACTCCTCGACTCCCTATTCAAGTCTCCCTCCCCCGCCGCTGCCTTGATCACCGTAAGATCCTGTTCCTCCTTGTTCCCCTACGCCTACATTCAACCCCCCCCCCCCCCCTTCCCCCCTCCACCCTACCTAGATCACCGCGAGTGCCCTCTCCCCTTCCCTTCCTCCCTGCTCCCCGCCCCTGCCTGGCTTGCAGTAACCGCCTCCCCCCTGTAGCGAGAAGCAGGCCTGTTGTCCTCCTCTCCCCTCCCCCCTCCCCCTGTCCTCCTCGTAGGGGTGGTTGGATTTCCTTAGGATTTTCAAGTGCATCGGCTCTCGCTCCATTGGTGGTGCAGTGCAGGCATCCCTTTTCCTGTGACATCTCAATGTCTCTCCCCCCTTCCATCTCAACATCTCAATGTCTCTCCCCCTCCCCCTCCCCTCCCCCCTTGTTCCCGCAGGGCTGGTTGGAGTTCCTTGGGATCTCCGTGTGCATCGGCTCACTCTCCTTTGGAGGCGTACAGCTGCTACAGTACACCATCTATGCTGCTACAGGTGCACTGTACATGCTGTTAAAGTGCTAAGTATAGGAAGCCACATACGTGTATCTATACATAGTGTGTATATTTATGCACATACGCTGCTACAGACACCATATATGGTGCTGCAGGTACACAGTATAATCGTTCACCTATATACCGATGTATATACATGTGTATTTACATATGTGATACATACATACGTATATATATATATATATATATTGATACGCTGCTACAGTATACCATCTATGCTGCTTCAGGTACGCAATATGCACACAAATACACTGCTACCAACGTGCTCCGTATGTAACGTGCCACAATACATCACCTAGGTTGTCACAGGTGCTATTGTGTACCATTGTCCTCCTCTCCTCTTACTTTTCAGCCAGGCGGGTTCAACGGCGGCTATCTGCTGACCAACTACGAGTGCTTGGGAATCACGGTGGCGTCAATGGTGGCATGTGGCCTGCTCAACCTGCTGCCCGTGCTCTCCATCAGTAGTGCTTTCATGAACGCCCCACCCCTGCCCCTGCCCCTGCCCATGTCTGCCCACCCACTCCAGGCGGCTCCAACGGCGGCTATCTGTTGAGCAATTACGAGTGCTTTGGAATCACGGTGGCGTCAATAGTGGCATGTGCACTGCTCAACCTGCTGCCTGTGCTCTCCATCGGACGCATAGCAGCCTTCAGTGCCGTGTGGCAGGTGAGGGAGTGGGAGGTGGATGGGAGATATAGTGGGGTGAGGGCGTGTGGGTGAGTGGGAGGTATAGTCGAATGAGAGTGTGTGGGTGTGTGGGAGGTATAGTGGAGGGTGTGTGGGTGGGAAATATAGTGGATTTAGGGTGTGTGGGTGGGAGGTATAGTGGAATGAGGGTGTGTGGGAGGGTGTGTGGGAGGAAGGTATTCTGGAATGTGTGTTTTCCAACCTGCTCCCCGTGCTCTCCATTGGACGCATAGCCGCGTTCAGTGCCATGTGGCTGGTGGGGGGTGGGAGGTGGGAGAGGGTGGGCATGCCGGGATGGGAGACATGATGGGGTGGGTGGAAGAGGTATGGTGGGGCGCTGTTGATGATCATCACCCTTCCCTGCGTTCCCACCACCTTTCTTTTCCCACCTCCCTCCACTGCAGCAACCCAATTCTCTTCACCCCTCCCCCAGTCAGATTGCGGTGGTAGCAGCAGTGATCATCATTCTCTCATGCCTCACCACCATCCTGCAGCCTCTCTCCCTATCGCCATGGCCCATCATTTCCTCCCCCCACTCCCCCGTCTCTCTCTCCCTTCCACTCAGATTGCGGTGGTAGCAGCAGTGATCATCATTCTCTCATGCCTCACCACCATCCTGCAGCCTCTCTCCCTATCGCCATGGCCCATCATTTCCTCCCCCCACTCCCCCGTCTCTCTCTCCCTTCCACTCAGATTGCGGTGGTAGCAGCAGTGATCATCATTCTCTCATGCCTCACCACCATCCTGCAGCCTCTCTCCCTATCGCCATGGCCCATCATTTCCTCCCCCCGCTCCCCCGTCTCTCTCTCCCTTCCACTCAGATTGCGGTGGTAGTAGCAGTGATCATCATTCTCCCATGCCTTGCCACCACCCTGCATCCTCCCTTCTCGCCAACAATTCACCCTCCCAGCCCACCCATCCCCCCTTCGCCTCCCATCCCAACCAGATCGTGGTGGTGCTAGCAGTGATCATCATCCTCCCCTACGTCGCCACCACCCTGCACATAGCTCTCTATTCCATACTTCCATCCCGTCCAACCCCAAACCCATTCCCCCTTCGCCTCCCGTCCCAACCAGATCGTGGTGGTGTTGGCAGTGATCATCATCCTCCCCTGCGTCGCCACCACACTGCAGCCCGCGTCGTTCATCTTCAGCCATTACCACGTGCAGCTTGACGTCACACACGTGCCCAACGATGTGAGCTGGAGTGAATGGGGCGCAAGGCACAGCACACACAGCACACACAGCACACACAGCACACGGCACACAGCACCCACCACACCACACCACACTGCAGCCCGCGTCGATCATCTTTGGCCATTACCACGTGCAGCTTGACGTCACACACGTGCCCAACGATGTGAGTACATTAATGATGTGAAGGCCTCCTGATACTGTGGGAGTGAGTGAATAGGGTATGAGGCACAACGCACACCATACCTCCCTGCAGCCCCCCTTGCTCGTGGGTTGATGAATGAGAGCTGCGATGGGTTCCACCGTTCCACAACCCATACAACTCCTCTCAATTCTAGAAGGACCCTTCTTTCGGCTTGTTCTCCCCCCTCACCCCTCTCTCTCTCCCACCAGGCATACGCCTTTGTGCTGGCAATGCAGCTCTCCCTATTTGGCCTCTACGCCTCAAAAACTCACCTTTCCCTCCCCCCTGTCCCCATTCCTCCCTTCCCCTCCTTCCGCCACCACCAGGCATACGCCTTTGTCTTGGCAATGCAGCTCTCCCTATTCGGCCTTTACGCATACGACACTGTAGCGCACATGGCAGAAGAGACAAAACGCGCCGACGTCACCGTGCCGGCCGCCATGGTCTCATGTCTCTCGGCAGCTACTGTGGTGGGGTGGGCGGTGATCGTCGTCCTGACTGCGTGTATTACCAATAAAGAGACGCTTCTTGACGAGGCTAACGCCACAGGGGGCCAGCAGCCAGTGGTACAGATCATCTGGGAGGTCTTTTACAACAGGTGAGGGCTCAGGTGAATCCTCAGCTGAATCCTCAGGTGAATTTCCAACAGCACGTGAGCAATGCTGCTGCTGCTGTGGCTCTCATTCACTTACCTCAGTGCTCGAATCCAAGGCACACAGCACCACTGCACCCATGCTATTATCTACGCTCCTCGTTCTCTCTCCTCTCCCCTCAACACCACCACCAGGTATGGCAACGGCACAGGCGCAGGGGTGCTGTGTGCTGTAATCACTGTGCCTCATGTGTTTCTCCCTCTTCCCCGCAGCCTTGCACTCGCATGCTCTAACCTGTCTGTGCTCTAACCTGTCTGTGCTATGTGTTTCATCCCTCACCACCCAATCCATATGCTCTGCATTCGTTCCCCCCCTTGTGCTGTGCGTTCTCTCCCCACCAGGTACGGCAACGGCACGGGGGCAGTGGTGCTGCTGTGCCTCATGTACTTCTCCTTCTTCTTTGCTGCCTTTGCGGCTGTCATCGGAGCGTCCAGAGCGGTGAGCCACACATCAATGCCAATCCACTAGCACAATTTGTCCGTTCCTGCCTTCTGAGGCGCCTCAAAAGTTGGCATTGGGGCTCCCAGAGCGGTGAGTCACATGTCACCCGTGGGAGGGACAATTGTTGCAGTGTAACATGCCACTCCCAATCCACCTAAAACATACACTGCAACATTTGGCTCCCAGAGCGGTGAGTCACATGTCACTCCCAATCCACCTAATCACTCCCTTCGTCCTTCCCGCCTTTGCTGCTGACATCGAAGGAAAGAAATGAGCGGAAAAGAGAAGACAGAAATTACGAAAGAAAGAAAGGAAGGAAGATAGAAAGAGCTCATTCTTCTCCCCCTCCCGCTCCTCCTCCCCTGCGTTCTTGCTGCCCTCCCCCTCTTTCCCCAGGCCTTCTCTCTCTCACGTGACTCCGGCCTCCCACTCGCCTTCCTCTGGCGGCGAGTCAACCGCGACCGCACGCCAGTCAACGCCGTCCTCCTCACGTGCTCCATCGCTATCCTCTTCTGCCTGCCTCTCCTCCACTCCACCTCCACCTTCTTCGCCATCACCTCTCTCGCCACCGTCGCATGGGTCGGCAGCTACTCTGTTCCCCTTATATTGCGCTTGATCCAGCCACGAGGGGCGTTCAAGGCCGGCGCGTTCAGTCTCGAGAGATACGTGGGGGCCGTGGGCAGGTGAGCGCACTTATGGGTGGAGTGGTGGAACATGTGTGGGTGGGGGGGGGGAGGATATGCTGTGCTGTGCCTCTGCCTGCCTCTCCTCCACTCCACCTCCACCTTCTTCGCCATCACCTCTCTCGCCACCGTCGCGTGGGTGGGAAGCTATGCGTTTCCCCTCGTGCTGCGCTTGCTGCAACCCCGATCGGCGTTCAAGCCAGGGGCGTTCGGCCTCGAGCGATACGTGGGGAGCGTGGGAAGGTGAGTGAGAGCACGCTTGTTGGGGGTATGCAGTTGCCTGCGCTGCTGCTGCTGCGATTGATCCAGCCACGAGGGGTGTTCAAGCCAGGGGCGTTCAGCCTCGAGTGATACGTGGGGAGCGTGGGAAGGTGAGCTCCTGAGTGGGCTGAACGTGAGTGGGCTTATGGGTGGGGGAGTGGAATGTGAGAGGGGATGAGGGTAGGGGTTGGCAGCTACACGCCAACCCCGGTCGGCGTTCAAGCCAGGGGCGTTCAAGCCTGGGGCGTTCAAACCAGGGGCGTTCAAACCAGGGGCGTTCAGCCTCGAGCGATACGTGTGGACGACAAGAAGGTGAGCGTTCTTACGTGTGTGGGGGGGAGACATGCTATGCCGTGCCGCTGCCGCTGCGCTTGCTGCAACCCCGGTCGGCGTTCAAACCAGGAGCGTTCAGCGTCGAGCGATACGTGGGGGGTGTGGGCAGGTGAGAGCGCTTATGGGTGGTGGAATGTGGGGCGGTGAGAGTTTGGGGAGCAATGGGAGCCCCGCATCTGTGTGCTCTACTCTACACCATGGCCCGCCATATTGAAATCACTTTTCAAATTTCTCAAAAGTGATTGCAATGGGAGTACCCCCGTCTGTGTGCTCCACTCTACACCATAGCCCGCCTCCATGCACCCCATGTTCTTCATTCTCACCATCTTCACCCCTCTCCACCGCTCTCAACCTGTGTGTGTATTGCTGTTCCATCGCCCCACCCATCAGGAGGTGCATAAACGGTGGGGCGCTCCCCTTCGCCCTCTACTCCATGGCCACTTCCATGCTCCCGTGTACTTCCTCTTACTGTCTCCACCCCTCTCCACCCCTCTGCACCCATTAGGGAGTGCATCAATGGCGGGGCTCTCTTCTTTGTGCTCTACACCATGGCCACCTCAATGGTGCCCATGTACTTTCCCTCTTACCATCTCCACCCCTCTCCGACCCTCTCCACCCCTCTGCACCCATCAGGCGGTGCATCAACGGCGGAGCGCTCTTCTTTGTGTTATACACCATGGCCACCTCTATGGTTCCCATGTACTTTCCCGTAACCGTCTCCAATTTCAATTGGTCCAGCTGTGTGCTGCTGGTAACCGTAACCTTCTTTATCTCCTGGTGGATTTTCGACGCCCGCCATTGGTTCATAGGGCCTTTCCATAACCGGGCAGGGAGCCAGCATCATAGCCAATCAGGCGCTGCCAAATGGTTCAATTGACCCCTTGGGGGTAGCTGAGATTAACTTATATTCTTGACCTGATTTGTTCAGTGGTCCATACGAAGGGTACAGAATCCCTCATACGGTAATAATTATATGTTTTATTAGGTAAACCTGAATGTGGTAAAGGGCATAATAATTCCTGTTCAACGTGTTCTATTTTACGGTATATATATATATATATATATATACCATGTGATTGCATGTACTGGTTTTTCCTTTACCCGTACCTTGCTTTCTTTCCGACACTAATTAAGCAGTCAAGCCAGCATCGCACCGCACCGTGCGACACTGCATTCCACCGAATGATAGGTACGCAAGATAAAAAGAACGTGGTACCGTAACACTTGTTACATGAACAAGCGCCCACCAGAGTACTTCACCATTCTTTCCCCGGAGCTCTGCTGTTTCGGTTACGTATAAAACTAGAAACGCACCCTTCATTCACATCAACAAGCGTCCAGCATAGTACTTTGCCATTCTTTGCACGGTGCTCTGCTGTTTTGAGATGTATAAATTACTACTCGTATACACCCTATATTCACATAAACAAGCGTCCAGCAGAGTACTTTGACATTCTTTGTGTGGAGCTCTGCTGTTTTTGGTACGACTTTTAAGTCGGCTGAAAACAACTTCTTACATGAACAAGCGTCCAGCAGTGTACTTTGACATTCTTTGCGCGGAGCTCTGCTGTTTTTGGTACGGGCCTACGAACCAATGCCTGGCATCTAGCAGCCACCAGGAGCAGAAGAAAATCACGAGGCAGACTATTCCCACACATGCGTAGTTGAAGTTAGACGGAGTGACGGGGAAGTCGACAGGGACCAGGAAGGTTGCGATGGTGTAGATGACAAAGAGGAGCGCTGCGAGGTTGATTAGTCGCCTGGGTTTGGGAGAGGTTGAGTGGGGAGGGGAGAGAGAGTGTGGGGGTATATGTATGATAGAGTCACGAGGAAGGTGGCGATGGTGTAGATGACAAAGAGGAGTGATGCGAGGTTGATTACCGGAGTCTGGATTTGAGTGGGTGGGTAGGTACGATGAGGGAAGAGATAGAGACTGGAGGCACAAAAACAAAGAGGGCATGATACACCTGTTCATGGTTGCTTGACTAGAGGGTAGAATGCAAGGGCGGTTGACTGCATCTCCTCTCTAGAGTTTCCGGTGTGGCGACCGCAGCATTATTGCAAACAGTATTGCTCCGATCGCAACTGCAACCCACCTGCCAGTGTGGCCGACATAATTTGCAAGGTTGAACGCTCCCGGCTCAAAGTCCTCGTCTTTTTGGATAAGCCGAAAGAAGATGGGGACAGAGTAGCTTCCCACCCACGCGACGGTGGCGAGGGAGGTGATGAAATGGAAGGTGCTGGAGTCGTCTAGGAGAGGCAGGGCGGTGAGAAGCGGCACTGACCTGCCTGTGTGACCGACGTAGTTCGCGAGGCTAAATGCTCCCGGCTCGAAATCCTCATCTCTTTGAACGAGGCGAAAGAAGATGGGCACCAAGTAGCTGCCCACCCACGTGACGGTGGCGAGGGAGGTGATGAAATGGAAGGTGCTGGAGTCGTCTAGGAGAGGCAGGGCGAAGAGGATGGAGATGCCGCAGCAGAGCCACACGGCGTAGATGGGCGTGCGGTCGCGGTTGACCCGCCGCCACAGGGAGGCGAAGGGGAGGCCGGAATCGCGCGAGAGGGAGTAGGCCTGGTGTGGGGACGGGTAGAGGGGGAAGAGCAGAGGCAGGGAGAAGAGGATGGAGATGCCGCAGCACAGCCACACAGCGTAGATGGGCGTGCGGTCGCGGTTGACCCGCCGCCAGGCAAAGGGGAGACCAGAGTCGCGCGAGAGGGAGTAGGCCTGGTGTGGGGATGGGGGGCGGGGAGCGGGCAGAGGGAGAGGAAGAGAGAAGAGGATGGCAATGGAGCAGCAGAGTCAGACGGCGTCGATGCATGTGCATTGCGGTTGACCCGCCGCCACAGGGAGGCGAAGGGAGGGCCGGAGTTGCGCGAGAGGGGGTAGGCCTAGCGGTGTGGGGGAGGATGGGGGTGGGGGACAGGGGGGGTGAGGGGAAGGGGGAGGGGGAAGCGAGGGGAGAGGGGGTGGGCAAGGGGAGGGGAGGGGTGGATGGAGGGATGGAGGTATGGAGGTATGGAGGTATGGAGGTATGGAGGGATGGAGGGATGGAGGTATGGAGGTATGGAGGTATGGAGGTATGGAGGTATGGAGGTAGTGGGTGGGGAGTAGGCCTGGCGGAGGTCAGGGTTTAAGGTTTCAGGTTGAGGGTTTAGGTCTCTCAAGACTGGGTTGAAGATGTTGAAGAGACATGGTCAAGAAGGGTACTCGGCGAGAAGGAGAGGACATGGAATGGAATAAGCATGCTAGAGAGAGTGCGAGGTATTGACTGGAGAGACTGGATAGAGGACTACTGGTGGTGCCAAATGCAGCCCACAACACTTTATAAGCCCGCGCGTATCCATCCACGCCCATCGGGCCATCGCCTGTAGCGCCCTTGAGAGCAAGGGAGCGGGCCTACGCGCCAAGAGGTAGAAAACACGGGAGATGAGAGAGTATATCGCACCGGCCACACGACGCCTGCGAGTATTACCTTCAAGCACCACCCAATCACCGCCCGGGATGCGCCCGTGAGGCCGCTGCACTGACAACCCCGAGGAAGAAACGAGGGACACAGCAGGGCGTGTAACAGGAAACTGCGTGCTAGTGCAACCCAAAAGGAACACCCACTCACCGCCCGGGATGCGCCCGTGAGGCCGCCTACAACACCAAGGAAGAATGCGAGGGACATGCAGCAGAGAATGATGATTGCCCCTGTGCCGCTGCCGTAACTGGTAGCGGTAGGTGGGCGGGTGGGAGGTGGGGGGGGTGGGGAGATGGAAAACTGGTAATGTGGGGAATGCAAAGAGAGGGACAAGCAGCAGAGGATGATGATTGCCCCTGTGCCGCTGCCGTAACTGGTAGCGGCAGGTGGGCGGGTGGGAGGTGGGGGGGTGGGGAGATGGAAAACTGGTAATGTGGGGAATGCAAAGCGAGGGACAAGCAGCAGAGGATGATGACTGCCCCTGTGCCACTGCCGTAACTGGGGAGATGGGGAGATGGAGAGGTGGAAGATGGGGAGATGGGGAGATGGGGTGGGGAAATGGGAGGTGGGGAGATAGGAGCAGGAGAGACGGGAGGTGGGGAGGTGGAAGACGAGAAATGTGGAAGAGACAAAACGAGAGACAGCAGCAGAGTATGATAATGGCCCCCTGCCACTGTCGACATTGGTGGTGGTGGGGGCTTTGGGGAGAACGAAGAGCGTAATGTTGATGTTACATGGGATTTTCCCTCCGCCCTCTCCCGCTCACCGGTGCAAGAACACGTCCTTTATTATGTTCTGCACTGCACCCTGGAACAGGGCACTCCGCCCTGAAGACGATTAATGTTCCCCCTGTTCTCCATCCCTTCCTCCCCCTCCCTCCCTCCCTCCCTCCATCCCACTCACCGGCTGAAGAACACGTCCCATATGATCTGAACCACGGGGTACTCGCCCCTCGTCTCGTTGTTTGCCCCCAGCAGCCGGTCGTCATTCTCGATGCAGAAGGTGAGCGACACGAGCAGCCCCCAACCCAGCACGCACACGCAGGAGAGCGATGAGACCATGGCCAGGGGGATCGTGCGGTCGGCGTGCTTCGTCTCTTCTGCCATGTGTGCGACGGTGTCGTAGCTGTACTGGCCGTAGAGGGAGAGCTGCAGGGCCACCACAAAGGCGTATGCCTGGTGGGGGAGGGTGGGAGGAGGGTTTTGAGACGGCTCAATAGCAGCCTCGTATATCACGTGGCTACAGTGTCGTAGCGGGAGAGTTGCAGGGCCACCACAAAGGCGTATGCCTGGTGTGTGCGTGTGTGGGGGGAGGGTGGGGTGGATGGAGTGGAGCGAAGGGGGTGAGGGAGGGTGTGCAGAGGTCTCCGAACAGAGTCAGGAGCCATAGAGGGAGAGTCGCATTGCCATGTGTGCGACGGTGTCGTAGCTGTAGCGGCCGGCCATAGCGGGAGAGTTGCAGGGCCACCACAAAGGCGTATGCCTGGAGTGTGCGTGGAAGAAACGAATGTTGGGGAGAGAGGGGGGGTGGGTTTGAGGAGACTCGAAAGATGTAGAGGGAGAGTTGCAGGGCCACCACAAAGGCGTATGCCTGGCGGGGGAGGGTGGGGGGAGGGTTTTGAGACGACTTAATAGCAGCCTCATATATCACGTGGCTACAGTGTCGTAGCTGCAGTGGCCGGCCGTTGAGGGAGAGTTGCAGGGCCACCACCAAGGCGTATGCCTGGTGGGGGGAGTGGGGGGGAGGAAAGGGAAGGGGGGCATAAGGAGATATTTTGAAAGCCAAAGAGGGAGAGTTGCCGGGCCACCACGAATGCATATGCCTGGTGGGGGGATGGGTGAAGGGTGGGGCGAGGTTGTGGGAAGGGCAAGGTTGAGGAGAGGAAAGCAGAAACAGAGCTGTGCAGTGCGGTGCAGTGCGAACTAGCATATGGATGCAGTGCGTTGCCATGAGGTGCAGAGCAGTCCTCGCATGGTAGTGCGTGAAGGCAAAGCAAGGAGGCGGGTGGTGACAGAGCGGTGCGGTGCGGTGCAGAGCAAAAGCGCAGTGCATAGGGGTCCAACCAATGCGATGCAGTGCGGTGCACAGTGGTGACGCTGCTCACCGCATTGGGTAGATGGCTCTGATCAAGCTGCGCATGGTAATGAGTGAACACAAAGGACGCAGGCTGAGTGGTGACAGCCACACACGGTAGCAACACGATGATCACGAGTGTGAGCACTATCTGGGCACACAAGAGGGTGGGCAGGGCCGGGGGGTTGGAGGAGAGGGAGAAGGGTGGGACATCTCGAAGGCAGTGGGTTGCGATGAAGGAGTGGATCGAGTGGTGACAGCAACACACGGTAGCAACACGATGATCACGAGTGTGAGCACTATCTGGGCATACAAGAGGGTGGGCAGGGCCGGGGGGTTGGAGGAGAGGGGGAAGGGTGAGACATCTCGAAAGCAGTGGGTTGCGATGAAGGAGAGTGGGTCGAATGGTGACAGCCACACACGGTAGCAACACGATGATCGCGAGTGTGAGCACTATCTGGGCAAACAGGGGGGTTGAAGGGGGACGAGGAGGGGAGGTAGGCAAGGGGGGAGAGGAGAGAATCTTAATAGTGAGGGCAAGCTGAGCGGTGACTGCCACACATGGCAGCAGCACGATGGGAGGGTTCGGGGGTGGGGAGATGGGAGGAATGCGATGGGGGAAACGGGTGGGGTGGTGAACGGGAGGGGGGATGCGATAGGGGGAATGGGATGGGGAGAACCGGATTGGTGAACGGGATGGGGGCATTGGGATGGTGGGAACAGGATTGATTCGGGATGGGGGGAACAGGATTGAACGAACGGGATGGGGGGAACGGAATGATCCTCGCACCTGCCAGACTGCAGTGAATACGTTGATTCGTCCAATCGCTTTGATCGGCAGCGAGGTGAGCAGCCCCCCCATTATAAGCACGCCCGCTGTGATCCCAAAGCACTCGTAGTTGCTGAGAAAGTAGCCCCCGTTATTAGCACCCCCTGTAGCAGCATAGATGGTGTACTGTAGCAGCTGCACCCCCCCGAAGGCCACGCCGCCCAGCCCCACAGATATGCCAAAGAACTCCAACCAGCCCTGAGGGTGCATGGGGTTAAGGGGAGGGGGAGAGGAGGGAGAATGGAAAGGAAGGGGAGCAGGGGTTGTGAGGAAGAAAGAAGAGAAAGTGAGGGTTTGATTGGAAAAGCGTTTGAATGGGTGAGGTGGATAACCATGGGGGTGAATGAGGGGCACTAAAGTCGAGAGAACGCTCACGGTGATCCAGGCAAAGAGGGGGAGGGGGTCAAGGGCACTTCGGGGGAGAGGGGCACTCACGGTGATCCAGGCAAGGAGGGGGAGGGGGTCAAGGGCACTACGGTGGAGAGGGGCACTCACGGTGATCCAGGCGGCCAAGGGAGGGTGGGAATGAGCGGTGCTGATGGGGAAACGGGCACTCACGGTGATCCAGGCGGCAAAGGGGCCGTGCTTTGGGCCGGCGAGAGCTGCCGCCCAGAAGTAGAGCGACCCCGAGATCTGATTTGCGGGCGGCCGTGGGGAAGAAAGGGGGAGGGGGAGAGGGTGAAACGAGAGATTCAAGAGATTTGCAGAAGGGGGGAAATGTTTGGGGGAACAGGGAGAGGAAGAGGTGGTTGGGGAGGGAGAGCCATTGTGTTTCGTCTCCCTCTTGCACAAACCCCTGGGTGCTCTCATCTTGTACATAAGAAGTGGGTGGGAGTGAGGGGGAAATCTAGTGAAGAATTGGGCAGAGGGGTGGCTTACAGGGAAGGAGGAGGAGACTTCCGCGAAGGTGAGGGCGACGCAGTGAGTGAAGAGAGCTGTGAGCCACCAGTACCACACAAGGGCCACCGGGCCTCCGTTGATGTACGTCTGACTGGCGTGATAGGAGCAGGGCGAGAGAAAAGGAGGCAAGGAGAGGAGAGGGAATGGGAGGGAAGGGAGAGAGAGAGCTGTGAGCCACCAATGCCACACTAGCGCCACCGGCCCTCCGTTGATGTACGTCTGACTGGAGCGATAGGAGGGAATGGGGAGATGTGAGTCATGGTCATGCGAGTCATGGTCATGTAAGTTCTGGTTATGACAAGATATGGGATGGTAGCTACCAACATTTAGGAGGACATGAATATTAAAATGTTGTGTCACCTGGAATGGTTTGTGCATGTTCACGTTGTTACATGATGACGAAGAGTCAGCAGCGGTCACGACAAACAGAGTCAAGGAAGTTATTGTCCGGTTAAGGGCTTTCGGAATGAACTTTGGCTGTAGGGGGGAATTATGGAAGCGCAGACAACGACAAGTCCTGAAACCTTGAAACGGTTTAAAAACACTTCGGATGAGGCTGGATTGGGGGGGGCTCGCTTATTCCCCTGTATAATCCTTCAAGAATGTGACATTGGTTGAAATGCTTTCTAAAGAAACTACTTCAAAAGGCATGTCTCACGGCGGGGGACGAGAGCTACTCACGCGTAGAATGGGACGACGCCAGCGTAGATAATGATGGTGGAGAGGCCAATAGAAAACACATCGACGAAGCCCTATAACGTGTACGATGAGGGAGGGAGAGAGTGGGATTGCGGAGGGTGAGAGTGGTAGAAAGAGGAGGGTGAGTACAGTGAAACGGAAGGAGCATTTGATTGCATGTACGAAAATGGTTGGTACCGTGAGAATGCCCCACTCCCCATCTGTTCCTGGCATTCGTTCTCCTTCGCCCCTCATTCGTTCCATCGATATGCATGCACTGTTATCGCGTTACCGAAGTCTCCGTTATAAGCACGTACCAGGCGTCGCTTCAGCTCCTGTTTGTATCCCAGCTCGTTAAGAAGCCGTTCGCCGGAGTCAAGTTCCACAGTCATATGTAACCCATCCTCTAACATAATCTCCAACGTCTCTCGCTGCTCCGAAGCTTCCGCCGTGTTTGCCGCCGCATTTTGCGGGTTCTTCCTCCCCGCATTTCCTGGAGTCCCGTCACTGGGCTCTGCCGTTGGGTTTACCGCATTTTCGACTTGCCACGTGCCCGCGACTAATACAATACCGCTGTCTTCGGCTGGACTACCATTGTCACCTACATCCGGCCGAGCTGCGTTCTCCCCTCCCGAAAAGCTCTTTCTTCGGGGTTTCGAGTCTACAGTCGCTATTTCTTCTCCTAGGGAACTGCCCCGCGATTCCCGCAACCGCCATAAGGCACGATTCGCGAGCACTGATTTCGTCATTTGGAAGTATATACAGGGCTACAAGGAGGTCTGTAACTACTCCGCAAAATGCTTTACGTTGGTAGGAATTCTAAGCTTCAATTTTCAAGAAACGGTTTTGTGGTGCTTGCAACACCACGCGATGAAACACCTGGTGGTTGCAGCCAACCGCGAAGATCGTCACAGCGATAGCGTGCAGGCGGGCGGGCCAGATAAGGAGGTTTCGTCTATGATGCAATGGCGGTGTTTTATGAACGTCAGACAAGGTGACTTTTGAGTGCATTCAAAAGTCAGCCAGGGAGTCGCGGCAATTGAGATGGCCGCCACTGATCAGAATGCTGATTTCTTTCTGTGTTCGTGTTGCTCAACTGCGCGATACAAAACGGTGCATAAGAGCAATTACGTCGTTTCGACAGGCACACCTTTGCCACACAGATTGCACAATGCCAAGGTTGTGATATTTGATGCTGAGAAGTATGTTCAGTTTCAGTTCGGTGAAGTATCCATCTAGTACGGTAAGACAGTTCACACCGTGGTTCTGCGATCACAAATATTGTGCGTCCGCGTCACCTGAGTCCAAGAGGCCCCCCCTCAACCCACAAGGGCACAGAATGGCATCTTCGCCGCGCGCTCTACGTCCAACCAGCTGAATCCTGAGGGTGCCCAATGGCCATTCGCCATGCCAGCCCAACCTGCATTCTTGCTAGAAAAGTGGCTGTACTGTACTGTACACCAAATCCAGGCATGAGGCCCTCAAGAATCCAGAGCTCACATGTTTCAGCCATTTCCAGAACCTTCGTGATCAAACCTCCTGCAATCCCAACACAGGACCCTGCAGCACCACGGCAGGGAAAAGCCTGCCCATGTACAACAATCATGCCCTGTGGTGCAGGTTGGGTTGAGAGAACTTGAGGGACCTTTTGTCCCTTCTTAAAAAATTATTCCGAAATGGCCACATCTCAAGGACAACCTCATTCTGTTATGTGGCGTTACAGATTGCAGGCTATAACAAGCTATGGAGTGTTTGGCATTGAAAAGTTCCCTTGATTTATAGAAATGACTAGCATTAAATGTTCTCAAGCGCCATATTTGACCCAAACAGGCTTCCAGGCTCCATTCAATATAGAAATGTATCCTTGCACATCCTCGCAGCTACTTAAGGCATCGTTAGTCGTGACTGTATAGATACCATATGGTGAAGCGCAGAGAGCAACCACCAAGACGCCGACTTCTCGCCATTTTTCCATCTCATGTCACCGCTTCCATCACACATCGCTGGCACTATGTGTACTTCCAAACCCTTTCTTTTCTGCTCCACATTCTCCCCATCCCCATCCCCATCCCCATCCCAATCAAGCACATCCATTTCAAGCACATCCAAGGCTCGTGCGACTGCTTCCGCTGTACTCACGGCCCCTTTGTGCGGCTCTTTACGCACCACAAGGCCTAGGTGGCCGGGCGGCGGGCCGGGGGATGCTCGGTCAAAGGGTAGGCACACCTGTGGTGGTGTGCATGCAAGACAATGCAGCGGGGGAAATGCAGCAAGGCATGAGAAAGAAACAGGGGAGAAGCAGATGGTGGAGCTAAAGCACCAGCTAAGGCGTTAATAGGAGTCAGTGTCGGCCAGGCACAGGATGAGCTTTGAAGCGTGGCGCTACAGCCTATTCATTTGCTCTCTTTCAGCCTACTCAATCTCTCTATGCGAGCCCTGTCAGCCTGCTCCTCTTCCCTTCTCCCCAGCACTGCATGCTTCACTGCCCTTCACACATACCATCGAGCAGTAGCGCCTGAGGAAGCTTCCACTCGCCTTCATCATCTCCCTGGCATGCTCCCATGTGCCATCGATCACCACCAGGGTCACACCATACCCCTCCCCACACTCCCGCCGCCGCTCCCCACACCCCTCCGCCTCTTCCCCGCATTCCCGTCCCCTCTCCCTGCACCACCCCTGCGCATCCTGTTCACAATCACCCCCCTTCTCCCCGCACCCTCTCTCCACTCTGTTATCCCCAGCCGCGCATGCTGGCTCTGCCTCCCCATACATCGTCTCCTTCAACCAGCCCTGCTGCTGCATCCCCACACGCCAGTGCCCCTCCACCCCATGCTGCTCCACCCCATGCTGCTCCACCCCATGCTGCTCCACCCCATGCTGCTCCACCCCATGCTGCTCCACCCCATGCTGCTCCACCCCATGCTGCTCCACCCCATGCTGCTCCACCCCATGCTGCTCCACCCCATGCTGCTCCACCCCATGCTGCTCCACCCCATGCTGCTCCACCCCATGCTTCTCCACCCCATGCCTCTCCTCCCCATGCTGCTCCACCCCATGCTGCTCCACTCCACGTTCCCCTGGATGCTGCGCGTCCAATTGGCGCCGGGCCAGATACCACCTCCACCAGTCGCCCACTGGCAGCGCGCCCTCCCCCGGGAACATGAGCAGCCGCACGTGTCCACACGCACACACACCGTCCCCTGCGCCCGATGCTCCGCAGATCCTCGCTTCACACACACCATCCCCTGTGGGCCCCGAATCCGCATTTCCGCTCCCGATCCCTGCAGTTTCTCTCTTCAGAGGCTCACTCCCATCATTGAATCCATTTCCCCTCTCTCGGTCCTCCTTTTCGCATTGTCCGTTTTCCTCCCCTCCCCTTACTGCCTCCGTTTCCCCTTCCCCTCTTCCATCCTGCCAAGTGGCATCTAGTCTGTTCCCACAGCGCGGGATCAGCACCCGGTCCAGCTCAGCGGAAGATCCTTCGAGGAACCTTCGCCCCGTTATGATGCGTGTGGACTCTAGAGTGAGCGCGAGGATTGGAGCAGTCGCAAGCCGCTTCTTGGCCTCGTGTGGGTGCTGTACCACTATCACTCTTGTCCGTGTCTTTAACCTACTCGGGGGTAAACTAGGGCACAGACACGCGCGCGACGGTCGCTGACAGCGATCGCACAGCAACCGCCTTCCTGCTGGACGCGGCGCTGCTCCTTCCGGAACCGCCACGTCAGCGTCGAATGACGAGACATCTGCCAGTGGATCGAGCGTAAGTTGCGCGAAAGGGTCTTCGGGTACATTCCCAAGCTGGGAATCCGTGGGATGCATGAACTGATCGGGTCTTAATCCTATCAGAAGGTATACGGGCGTAGTATACTACGCTAATGTATTGGCGCGGGGGTAGCAGAGTCTCGTCGCCTGCCTTCCCAATGCCGGAAATTGCTGAGCTGATTAGGACGAGTTGTAAATGAAGCAGGTAAAGGACTCACTTTGATCAGAACGCGTTTTTATGCTGGGTGCTGTGGGATCTGGAACGGTGAGTGCTTCACAGATTTGCTCAGTAAAACTTCTGCGGAATCGTAAAAACACGTTGCCGTGCCAGCGACGTTCGAGAAGGGGTTACACGGTCACAAGGTCCCACTTAGCGAACCCGTTGTATCTCGCCTGCCAGATGTCGGAATACGGTCGCTCCGCTGCCACGTCGGATTCGTGCATCAGGGCGAATTCCATCGGCAACACCAATGCCTCTCACACCCCCACATAATGGTCATTAGAGACTTTTCGTTTATTTGCTCGGCCATGGCGGTTATTCTCACTCGTTACAACTGCGTGTCTACAAAAACTCCTCCGCAGTGAGGCGCTCAAGGAAACTTGAAACGGCCAGGCGAAGTTAATTTCTCTGGTATTGAGCTCGCGTTCGACTGATATTTGTCCTCTGGATTCGTGCTCCTCACCATGTCGCTAACTTTGTCACTCACAACAAGCACGCTTAGTTTCTGCACATCCCGCAACGATCGCCAATCAAGACCCAGCAGCCAGCTCAAATCCGACACCCCTCGGATTCTATCAGAACCGTCGATCCTCTTTTCCCGCAATATTCGCTCGTCCAATTCACGAGTAGCCATGTCCTTTCTCAGCTATTCTAGTCGGCGGCGCAACGTTGACGCTTTTGTTTCGTTGCGAACCGCCTTTCGAACAAGCAGACCCGCAGTCTCGCCTGTTTCGCCTAGAATATCTGACCGTCGACTTGTCCGAGCTGCCAGCGGCGTGGATGATCTCCAGGTCCCTGCCACGTGGACGAGTCCGGAAGTCGCACAACAAGTAAGGGCGATGTCTACCGTCATGACTGCCAGAACTGTCTCACGCCATGTTCCTCCGTTCTCTGCTCAATTTCCCCCATTCTAAATGTGTAATTCTCTTTTGCTGAGATGATCATTGCTGCTTCGGGTCCGGGTTGTGCAGGAGGCTGATTGGCTGCGGGAGAACCTAAAGGCATGGCTGGACAATGAGTACTGTCCGGAACCCGCCAACATCGGAATCAGCGAGCGATGCGCCAAGGTAGGTGGAATCGGCCCGCGATGCCATCTGATGGGTAGCTGTGGTGGCCTTTAGTGGGAGAACCAGGCAGGGCGCCTATGCATCGGAAAACTTGCCAGGCTAGCTGTGGGAACGTACTTCAGAGGAAATCTTGGTAAGTTCACAATTGCTACTACACATAAAGGCACAACCGTCCGTCAGTGCAAGCTGGGGAAGCCAATCAGAAAGACTGGCCAGCATGGTTACGTTGTAGCAGTAACCGATCCACGTATTGCATTGAATCACAAAGAATGTATTCTAACAGCAGAATGAGCTTACGGTTCACCTCCAACAACCATATCACTCATAACGTTCCTTGGCATCGCCCATGTACCGTGCTCACAGGTCTACTACCGCTGCTTGCTAAATCAAGAACGGGAGATTTCACAGATTCTTATGCAGGTAATCCAGCTTCCGCCATTGTCAATACGAAATTCATGGTGTGCCAGTCAAGACGTTCTCCCACCTGTTTATTCCAATGTGGCTTTCCTTTCATTGGTTAGACAAACCACTCATGTTTCTGTGGTGTGTGGCTGCAGATGGTGTATGACTTGGAGAGCTTCTCATTTAAGGAGAGCTTTCACGGGCCCTTTTCATCAGCCAATGCAGCAGTGGCACTCATATGCGATAGAGCTGCCGCCAACAGCGACTAGCAGACATCGAACATCTGGATGCTTTTGGACCAATATTGTTCATAGCACTAGTCATATCCAACAGAGCTGCCACTAGTTTCCAAGCATCATCAACCATCTGGACACTTGATCTAACCAGCATAGCTCGAAATATAGCTCGTGGAGGCAGCACTCGCGGTGGATGGCAGGTTTCAAGCATCCGCCGGAGCGTGATTACGCAAGCCGATGGTTGGCAATATTCATTCTCTGCAGAGCCACCACTAGCAATGGTTTCAGCCACCTGAACGCCTAACTAACACCATCGGAGTTTTCCTACCCCACATGATGCACGCCTTTTTCAGGAGGCATCAATGCAAGGTTTTTGGAGTAACTTTGTGGGGTGTAGTGTAGTAGTTGGGTGAAGCTGTTAACACCACAATAAAGATAAGAACCAGTTGCAATTCTACTACACGCCTTGGAGACAGCGAAGGTTGGGTTGTTTGGTCCAATCCAAGACATGCCAGCGCTGCGCTTGAGATATTCTGTGCCCAAGCTTACAGTTTCTGGACCACATTGATTATCCATCAATGGGATTGTGGGACTGTGCACAAGAGAGGCCGTGCAGCCACAAACGTTTGGCGGGAAATGGTGGGTGTAATGTACAGTATTGAACGGACGGATGTGTTGTGTCCAAACCTAGCCAGAACCTTGAACAGGTTCAATCCCCTGGAAACGCCCTTGTCCAGCCTCTCCGCACCATACTGAACCGTACGTTTATCCTGTCAATGTGGAATTCGCATGTGGCAGGGCAGCGTGGCCGCCCTTCCACTCCTCCTCTCTTCCGTTCCCTACCGTACCCCACCTGTACTTGCACGTCCTCCCCCCAACGTGGCACGTCTTGGGAGGTGCGCAAAGTTGTCGCCACGATGGCTTTGCGCGGTTCTTCACGAAAGCAGCGCAGCTGCGTCGCTCGCGCACCCTTCTTCCGCCGACGAATCCCAAACCAGTGGCACTAAATCTTTTCAGCGGCGCGCTGTTCGACAAATTCTACTGTACAAAATGGTGGTTCTGAACTGAAACACCATCAAACCGCTTCCTGGGACGGGTGCATCCTGCCGTAGGGGGCACACATTAGATGACACAAAAACAATCCACCTTGGGTCCCCTTAAAAAAACTTGTGCCCCAGAACACACTTGATGAGACTCAAACCATAGTGATTCCCAACGCAAATCCAGCGTCAGCTATGTATGAAGAAAATCCCCAGTAGCGGAAAGTAGGTTCTCTTTAGATTAGGCTTTCTATTCTGGCTCAAATAGCGAAATCACCACAGGACCGTCCGTTAGATCTAGGGATATGAGCAGGTTGAACTCTGTTCTTGGTTCAAAAGAGTAGTGTACCCAAGAGCACCGACTTCCCAGCGAAATCCTTAGGGAAATTTGCAATTGGTAACAGAAATAGGTGCATGTAACGTCGTTTCATCTGAGAAAGTACAAGTTCAAGTCACACTCGTGTGAGCTCAGATCAGAGGGGTTCCTTTCCTACCTTCCTTCCTTGCCTCCCTCATCCTCCCCCCCCCCCTCAACCTCCCATCGCACAGCAACCTACGTCATTCCAATATCCAAGCCTCGTCCTGGGAGGAATGGAGACAAAATCAGCAATACCTTCGTCTGATGATTATGACTCATGAGAGACGGAATAGAAACACGACTCTGGCAGGGATTGTCCCTTGATGGACAGCAGCAAATGATGGGAAAGCGTGTGCTTTCACCTGCGCTCGCCAGTTGCTAGCTCCTTGATGGTCCTGGCGCACTCGGAGCATCGTCCGAGATTAATTGCTCCAAGCGTTGTTAGAGAGTAAAGAGACGGGAATATTTATTTTATTATCTTAGCCGTCGTGACACGACATCCCATACCTTCGATTTCCCCCTTAGCTTCCCTGCATTTCCGCCGTGAATGGCGGACGACGGCGATTGGACGGTCGAGGAGAACACGGCAGTCGAGCCGCCAGTTGCCGAAAACGACGAGCTCTTCCGCGAGGCGTGCGCCTTCGAAGGCGCCGCGGTCGTCGCATTAGTCGAAAACACACCCAGCGGCGGGAATGACGGCGGGGATGGCGGAGGGGGGCAGGGCGGCGCGAAGACGATGGAGATTATGCTGGACGATGGTGTGCTACTAACGGTGGAGCTCGATTCCGGGGAGAAGCGACTCAACGAGCTAGGGTACAAACAGGACCTTCAACGCGATCTGGTGCGTGCGTGCGACCACGTGCGATAGTGTGCGATAATGTGCGACCATGCGCGGAAAATTGCGAGAATGCGCGACCGTGTGACCGTAGCGGGGGCGTTGAGTTGTCACCTACATTATCGCTCTGCTCGCGGGACTAGCACAGCTGGAAAAGACTCGGCTTGAGGTCGTCCCATTTCTATGTGACTGTAGCGGGGTCTTTGAACGGCCTCCTGCATTACCGCTCTGCCCCCTGGACTCGCACCTGTTTGAATCCACTCTAGGTCGTCCCGCTTTTACGTCAGACTGGACTAGGCCGGACTCGGGTCACCTGATGCTTTTGAGACGTCTCAATAGTCGTCAACTTTCGTCAGACTCGACTAGGCCGGACTCGGGTCACCTGATACTTACAGGAGAACACGCAGATTTGTTGTTGCCTGTGCTCGCATCCTCCGTCTGTTATTTCACGCAACTCCGCCCATTCCCCCGGTCAATATCTCGAATGGTGCCGTTTGTGGCGGTTCAAGTTGCCTCCATATAGAATGCTCATATCTCTCATCCTTCCGACGCTCTGCTTCCCCTCGACCAATCAGAACGCCTTCGAGCTGTTCGCCGTGTCGCTAACGGGAGTGGGGGTCTTCCTCGGAGTTATCCCGTACTACGAGTGAGTGGTGCTTTCTCTTATCGTAACGACTCACATTTGACTTATAACGGGTATAGGGGTATTATTTTGCCGAATTATCCCGCACAATGTACGAGCGAGTGGTGCTTTTGGAGCTGTGGCCGCATTCTTCTTTACTTTCGCTCCTCACGCCCCCATCAGTTACGCTTTCGCGAGTGGAGGGCCAGTAATGGCGGTCTGGTTCTGGTGGATTACTGCTTTCTTCGCCCACTGCATTGCTCTCTCCCTCGCTGAAATCGCCTCTTCCTTTCCCGTGAGTCGCACTCACCGGGCTTTAAGGCTCCTCTCGCGCTCGCGCACTGCATTACTCTCTCGCTCGCTGAATTGCCTCCTCCTTCCCTGTTGAGTCGCACGAGTTGGGCTTTAAGGCTTCCCCCGTGCTCCCCACTGCGTTGCAAATCGCCTCATCCTTCCCCATTATTCCTTACATCACGTGGGCTGATATGCACTGTTCATAATCGCCTTCTCATTTGCCTCTTCACAATCTCTCATGGGTTGTCCTTAACCGTTTCCCCTTTACCTCCGAGTCTCGTATTGCAATCTCTCTTCCTCCCCATCCCATACCCCATCCAGGCCCCCCTCCCTTCCCCCTCTCCCAACCCATCCCACTCCCTATTCCCCCATCCAGTGTTCATCCCCTCCTACCCCTCTTACTCGCATCGTTACTCCGGTGTTAATGAAACTCACCTAAAAAACCGCGTGTTGGAAATCCTGTTGCTCTCACAAACACCTATTCTTTCTGCTTTTTTCCCCACCTCATTTCATCACCTCATCTCATCACCTCTCTCCTCTCCTCATCTCCTCTCCTCTCTTTCCCTCCCACTCATTCCCCCCTCCACATCCCGCTTCCAGACTGCTGGTTCACTTTATTTCTGGGCAGCAGCATTAGCCAAGCCCAAATATCGCCCGCTCGCTGCCTGGATCACGGTAAGTGCTCTCCTCTCCTCTAAGTGTTCGCCGAGTTTTTTTTTTTTTACGTGTATGCTAAGTGTTTGCTAAGTGCGTGTGAATCGTTCACCAAGTGTATTCTTAAGCTCTTTTTACAGTGAAATCTTAGCTAGGTGTCCATTAAGTGCTTGCTCCACGTACGCCAAGTGCTGATGCTTAGCCACTCTGATTGCAGGCAGGCGCACGTAGCTTTCACCCAAGTGTCTAAGTGTATTGAAAACTCACGCGTCTGTTCTTCCCGGCCCATCCCTCTGCCTCCCTTCCCCTCCCTGCTCCGCTGTGTTGTCTTCCTCCTCTGCCCGTCTCTCTCTCTTACCGCCAGGGCTGGTTGGAATTTCTCGGGGCGTCCATCAGCTCGGTTGGGAGGGAGGGGGTGTCGCTGGGAGGGATGGGACCCTCAAAGGTCGCCTCTTGTGCGGCCTTTCTCCTCTGCCCTCGTGCTCTTACCCGTTGCAGGGCTGGTTGGAGTTTCTCGGAGCGTCCATCAGCTCGGTTGAGAGGGAGGGGGTGTCGCTGGGAGGGATGGGACCCTCAAAGGTCGCCTCTTGTGCGGCCTTTCTCCTCTGCCCTCGTGCTCTTACCCGTTGCAGGGCTGGTTGGAGTTTCTCGGAGCGTCCATCGGCTCAGGGGGGGTGGCTCTGGGAGGGGTGCTGCTCCTGAGCGACCTCGTTCTGCTCGCCACAGGTGCAGTGCGGTGCAGCCAGGTCTACTGGATTGCAGGTGCAGTGGACTGCGGTGTGGTGCAGTGTGGTGCGGTGCAATAGGGTGCAACAGAGTGGAGCCCATCTCGGCTTGCTGGACTCGGAGTGTTGAGCCTGCCTGCGTGCTGTGCATTCATCATGCTCGTGTGTGCGCTTGTGAACCCGTCGCTTTGTCCCCTTGTACCCCCTTGCACCCCTTTGTATCCCTGTGTATCCCCTTGGTTCACCCCCCATGCCTTGTGTTGCAGGTGGGGTCAATGATGGGGGTTGCTCGATGCCAGAACCTGCGCAGTTCGTGTGCTGTGTGCAGTGTGTTCATTCATCGTGCCTGTGTGTGCACTCGTCAACCTGTGTCTTTAACCCTCTGTAACCCCATGCACCCTCCCTTGCACCCCTTTGTTTTGTACCCCTTCCATCCCCCTCTGTTACCCCGCCTTCCTGGTACCACAGGTGGCGCCAGCAAGGGGGGAATACACGATGCCAGAGCCGGTGCAGTTCGCGTGCTGCGTGTTCATCGTGCTCGTGTGTGCTGTGCGCTCACATGAACCTGTACGGCTGTGCTCTGCCCCTCCCATCCCCACCACGCCCATACTACTGCAGGTGGCGCCAACGGTGGCGGGTACATTATGCCAGAGCCGGTGCAGTTCGCCTGCTGTGTGTTCATCGTGCTAGTGTGTGCTGTGCGCTCACATGAACCTGTACGGCTGTGCTCTGCCCCTCCCATCCCCACCATGCCCGTGCTACTGCAGGTGGCGCCAACGGTGGCGGGTACATTATGCCAGAGCCGGTGCAGTTCGCCTGCTGTGTGTTCATCGTGCTAGTGTGTGCTGTGCGCTCACATGAACCTGTACGGCTGTGCTCTGCCCCTCCCATCCCCACCATGCCCGTGCTACTGCAGGTGGCGCCAACGGTGGCGGGTACATTATGCCAGAGCCGGTGCAGTTCGCCTGCTGTGTGTTCATTGTGCTCGTGTGTGCTGTGCGCGCATCAACCTGTCTCTTTCTCCCCGTGTACCCCATTGCACCCCTTTGTACCCCCGTGTATCCCCTTGTATCACCCCCCACTCATTCTCTTGCAGGTGGCGCCAACGGTGGCGGGTACACGATGCCAGAGCCGGTGCAGTTCGCCTGCTGTGTGTTCATTGTGCTAGTCTGTGCTCTCATCAACCTGCTTCCCATCAAGATGGTTGGCAGAGTGCTGCTGGTCGGCATGATCATCCAGGTGGGGTGCGGTGGGTTGCGGTGCTGAGGATGATGGGTGGGGGTGCATGCGGTGGCGTGCGGGGTGGGGTTGGGTGGGATGCATTGGTATCTACTGGCATGAGCTGCTGGGTGCTGCAATGTACTGTACCCCTCCATTCCTCTCGCCTTCCCCTCCCCTCCCCCCTACCAGGTGCAAGCAGGTGTGAGCACCATAATCACTCTCCCTCTTGTTGTGCCAACACTACAATCGGCCTCTTGGGTGATCAGCCATCTCGATTTCTCCTCACCTTCACCTTCCCCTCCCCTCCCCCCTACCAGGTGCAAGCAGGTGTGAGCACCATAATCACTCTCCCTCTTGTTGTGCCAACACTACAATCGGCCTCTTGGGTGATCAACCATCTCGATTTCTCCTCACCTTCACCTTCCCCTCCCCTCCCCCCTACCAGGTGCAAGCAGCTGTGAGCACCATAATCACTCTCCCTCTCGTCGCATCTACGTTGCAACCAGCCGCGTGCCTCGTCTGCTTACCGTCCTCGTGCCGCGTGCCTCGTCTGCTTACCGTCCTCGTGCCTCGTGGCTCGTCTGCTTACCTTTTCCCCTTCACCTTCCTCCCTCCTCGTGGCTCTTTTGCATCCCCTCGGGATCTGTTCTCCTACCCCTCTCATCCCCCCCCCCCCCAACAGGTGCTAGCGGGTGTGATAACCATAATCACACTGCCTTTGAGTCGATTCAAAAGCAGACCCCTCTCATCCCCCCCCCCCCCAACAGGTGCTAGCGGGTGTGATAACCATAATCACACTGCCTTTGAGTCGACTCAAAAGCAGACCCCTCTCATCCCCCCCCCCAACAGGTGCTAGCGGGTGTGATAACCATAATCACACTGCCTTTGAGTCGACTCAAAAGCAGACCCCTCTCATCCCCCCCCCCAACAGGTGCTAGCGGGTGTGATAACCATAATCACACTGCCTTTGAGTCGACTCAAAAGCAGACCCCTCTCATCCCCCCCCCCAACAGGTGCTAGCGGGTGTGATAACCATAATCACACTGCCTCTCGTTGCGCCCACGCTGCAACCAGCCTGGTGGGTCTTCGGCCATTTGGATTTCGACACAGCCAGCACCAACCTGCCCAGCAACGTGAGTCCTTTTGAGACCCTCAAAAGCCGTCAGCGGCAGTCTCTCCCTTGAGTATTGTGTGTGAGTGCGTGTGTGCGTGTGTGTGTGTGTGTGTCTGTGTGCTGGTGTGTGTGTGTGTGTGTATGCTGGTGTGTGTGTGTGTGTGCCGGTGTGTGTGTGTGCTGGTGTGTGTGTGTGTGTGCGTGTGTGTGTTGGTGTGTGTGTGTGTATGCTGGTGTGTGTGTGTGTGTGTGCCGGTGTGTGTGTGTGCTGGTGTGTGTGTGTGTGTGCTGGTGTGTGTGTGTGTGTGTGTGCGTGTGTGTGTGTGCTGGTGTGTGTGTGTGTGCGTGTGTGCTGGTGTGTGTGTGTGTGTATGTGTGTGTGTGTGTGTTTGTGTGTGTGTGTGCGTGTGCATGTGTGTGTGCTGCTCATGCTGCATGGAACCAGCCTCGTGGGTCTTCGGCCATTTGGATTCCAACACAGCCAACACCAACCTGCCCAGCAACGTGAGTGCCTTTTGCTCGTCCATCTCTTGTCCTCTCCTCATCCTCTACGCAGCGCTGGTGAGTCTCTTGATGTCTCAATATACCCTCTATTCCTTCCACACTGGAGCCCTGTTGCTCTTCTCACCTTCTCCTCATCCTCTTTCCCTCCCGCCCTCCCTCCCATGTGACAACCCCCATAGCCACCTCAACCCCCGCTCTCCCCGTCTTCCTCCCTTTCTCCCCAGGGCTATGCCGTGCTGGTGGGACTCCTCATGTCCCAATACGCGGTCTACTCATTCGACTCTGGCACCCACACATCAGAGGAGGCCAATCATTCCGATCTGACAACCCCCATTGCCTCCTTGTCTTCCCCTCTTCTCATTGTCTCTCTCCCTCTCCCTCCCCCCAGGGCTATGCCGTGCTAGTGGGTCTCCTGATGTCCCAATACGCCCTCTACTCCTTCGACACTGGATGCCACGCATCAGAGGAGGCCAAGTGGTCAGACGTCACAACCCCCATCGCCATGGTGGGAGCGCTGACACTCGTGTCGTTTCTCGAGTGGGCGGTGGTGGTGGTGCTCACGTTCTGCATTCAGGACAAAACTTCTTGTTCTCTCCTTGTCCCTCCTCCCTCTCCTCTCCCTCCCCAGGGCTATGCGGTGCTAGTGGGACTCCTCATGTCCCAGTACGCGCTCTACTCATTCGACACCGGAGCACACGCATCAGAGGAGGCCAAGCGGTCCGACGTGACAACCCCCATCGCCATGGTGGGAGCGCTGACACTGGTGTCGTTTCTCGAGTGGGCGGTGATCGTGGTGCTCACGTTCTGCATCCAGGAAGAAGCCACGTTGCTGGATGAGTCCAACGCGGCAGGCGGCAAGCCCGTGATTCAGATCCTATACACCATCTTCACTGGGAGGTGAGAAGCACCGCACCGCACTGCACCGCACCGCACCTCAGCACTGCTCTGATGGACAATCAGAACACAATGGGACGGAAGCCAGTGATTCAGATCCTCTGGGCCGTCTTCATTGGGAGGTGAGGCACACCGCACTGCACCAAATCGCACCGCACCGCAGCCCTTAGAGTCGGTCGGTTCAGTAGTTGCAGAGGAGTACGACCCTTAAAGACGTGGGTGCAGAGGAGTACGACCCTTAAAGTCAACTCAGAAATCGCCTCCTTGTATGTTCTTTCTTCTCTCTGTTTCTCGACCCATTCCCATCCTTCCCTTCCCACCGCATATGATCCATCCACCAGGTACGGCAGCACAGCAGGGGTGTATGTGTTCATTTGCCTCTTCTCCTTCTCCATCACTCTCTTTCCTCTTCCTCTCTCCCCATCTTCCCCCCCTTTCCCCCATCCTCCCCTCTCCCTTTCCGCTCTATCCATTCACCAGGTACGGCAGCACGGCAGGGGTGTATGTCTTCATCTGCTTCTTCTTCTCCCCACTCCCCCCTCCCTCCTCCTCCCGTGCTCCTTCCCATTGTGATTATCCACCAGGTACGGCAGCACAGCAGGGGTGTATGTCTTCATCTGCCTCTTCTTCTCCTCCTTCTTCTTCTGCACCATCACTCTCGTCTTCGCAGCATGCCGTGTGGTACGTTGTCGAAACACCATGTGCCATCGCTCTCTCAGTTTCACCTCCTTTGTTGCAAAACCATGTTGCGCTGGCCTCATCTCCCTCTCCTCCCTCTTCTTCAGCACCATCACTCTCGTCTTCGCAGCATGCCGTGTGGTACGTTGTATCTTCTTGTCTTTGTGTTGTATAACCCATGCAAGGTAGCCCCTGCAATAACCCAGGTGGCCAACCATGCAGTAACCCATGTGGTAACCCATGCAGTAACCATGTGGTAACCCATGTGGTAACCCATGCGGTAACCCATGCAGTGACCCATGCGGTGACCCATGTGGTACGTACAGTCTTCGTGTGATCACATCACCTCCATTGTCGCAGCACCACACCCCACAGTCTTAGGGTTCACAGTCACACTTCCATCCAACCTCCATACTCCCCCTCTCCCCCATCCCCTCTTCCCCCCATGGCAATGCGCTAGCGCGGGACAAGGGGCTTTGAGACTCCATTCTCTCAAAACGCCATTCTCTCGAAACGCCATTCTCTCAAAACGCCATTCTCTCGAAACGCCATTCTCTCGAAACGCCATTCTCTCAAAACGCCATTCTCCCAAAACGCCATTCTCTCAAAACGCCATTCTCCCAAAACGCCATTCTCCCAAAACGCCATTCTCCCAAAACGCCATTCTCTCAAAACGCCATTCTCTCAAAACGCCATTCTCCATCCTCATTTGCACCGTCGCCGTCGCCATCGCCATCGCCATCGCTATCGCGGCACTGCTGCCGCTGCTGGGCGGCAGCACTGCCTATTTCGCCCACCCCTCTCAACCCCCCACCTTTCCCTGTCCTTCTTGCTTACCCTCCCTTCTTCCCCTCCATTTTCCCTTCCCTTTCCCCATCCTTCCCTCCTTCCCTTCCCCTGCCCACCTCCCCCATTCTCCCCCAGGGCTATGCGCTAGCGCGAGACAAAGGACTACCTTTTTCCTTCCTGTGGCGGCGCGTCAACTAGCGCAAGGTCCCTGTGAACGCTCTCATGTGCACCATCGGCAAACGGCATCGCCATCCCATTCACCTCTTTCTCCCCTTTCCCCACTCCCACCTTCCCCATCCTCCCCCTCCCCTTTCCCCTTCCTTCCGTTCCCCTCTCTCCCCCCCCCCCCTCTCCCCCCTTCCCCAGGGCTACGCGCTGGCACGCGACAAAGGACTACCTTTCGCCTTGCTGTGGCGGCACATCAACAAGCGCAAGGTCCCTGTGAACGTGCTCATGTGCACCGTCGGCGTCCCATTCACCTCTCTATTCCCCTACCCCCCGCCCCCACTCCCCAACCCCAGGGCTACGCGCTAGCGCGAGACAAGGGTCTGCCCTTCTCCTTCCTGTGGCGGCGCATCAACAAGCGCAAGGTCCCCGTGAACGCACTTATGTGTACCGTCGGCATCGCCATCGTGGCGCTGCTGCCGCTGCTGGGCGGCAGCACTGCGTATTTCGCCGTCACCGGCATGGCCACCGTGGGGTGGTTCGGTGCGTACGGCGTGCCCATCCTCTTCCGAATTCTGCAGGACGACGGGGACTTTGTGCCCGGGCCGTTTTACCTGAGAAACTACTTCGGGAAGATCGGAAGGTGAGGAGCAGTGATGGGGAGTGGTCATGGGCATGGGCATGGGCATGGGCATGGGCATGGGCATGGGCATGGGGATAGGCATGGGCATGGGCATGGGCATGGGCATGGGGATGGGCATGGGCATGGGCATGGGGATGGGCATGGGCATGGGTATGGACATGGGCATGGGCATGGGCATGGGCATGGGAATGGGCATGGGCATGGGGATAGGCATGGGCATGGGCATGGGCATGGGCATGGGGATGGGCATGGGCATGGGCATGGGCATGGGGATAGGCATGGGCATGGGCATGGGCATGGGCATGGGGATGGGCATGGGCATGGGCATGGGGATGGGCATGGGCATGGGCATGGACATGGGCATGGGCATGGGCATGGGCATGGGCATGGGCATGGGCATGGGCATGGGCGTGGGCGTGGGCGTGGCCACGGTGGGGTGGTTCGGCGCGTACTTCGTGCCGATCCTCTTCCGGATTCTGCAAGACGATGGGGACTTTGTTCCCGGGCCGTTTAACCTGAGGAACTATTTCGGCAAGATCGGAAGGTGAGGATCGGGGGGTGGCTTTGTTGAATCTGCTTTTGAGGATTCTCAAAAGAGATATCGCATAAAGTATTTTTTTTCAAAATATAATTCTCAAAAGCTTTTCCATACTCTGCAAGATGAGGGTGACTTTGATCCCAGGCTGTTCCAACTACCTAGGCAAGATTCGAAGGTGAGGTTTGGTGAGGGGGTGCGGTCATGGGCAAGGGCATGGTGGGGATGGTTGTGTAAATTATAAGAACTCTCAAAAGGATGGTTCAGCAGAGTGTTTATGAATGCTTCCCTACGGCCATGATGCCATCTTCTCCCCATCCGTTCCCCATACCCTCCTCCTCCAGACACCACAGGTGTTTGGTGCAGCCTCCACCACACCCGCACTTCTTTCACCATCTCTCCTAAACTCATATTCTTCTTCACACTTTCCTGCTGCCAACTATTTCCGATTCCCCCCATGCAGCAAGTGCATACACGTCTTGGCGCTGCTCTATGTGGTCTACACGATGGTCGTCTTTATGCTCCCAACTGAGTACCCAATAAACTCATCAAACTTCAATTATTCGCCCATCGGGATTGTCATTTGTGTGAGCTTCTTCCTCCTGTGGTGGATCGTCGATGCCCGTCGGTGGTTCAAGGGCCCAAAGATTGCACACGGCGAGAATACAGACTCCACACGGTCGGGAATGGCTAAGGTTTTTGAGTGAATTGGTTTGATTGGTTTAAGCTCATGAGTGTGTTGTTCACTTTATTTAGGGTGTCTCACACCACCAATATATGCCTATCAGCTGAATAAGGCTGATGGTGGAGCGCAGTGCAGGAGTAAATGTACAGATTTGTGTTCTCTGAGTTAATTTCTGTATTGATTTTGAAACTCGATACCTTCTTAATAGAGCTGGCATGCCCGAAGAATATTCCTTTAATATTGTATGTGAACTCACCCTTTTAACGGATCCACTCCGCTAAGATCTGGGACAGGGTCAGCTTCGACTGTCAGTAGCCTGTCAGCCGGTTGGATTTATCCCGCCATTCCGACCAAATACAGCTATGTGCCGAGAAAGCTCTCCTAGAGATCTGTTCTGCAACAGCCCACTGCAAGGTGAATCTTCACCCTGCGGGATTCTGTTCTGTCGGTATTTAGGTGCTGCCGTCTCTCGGCTATCTGGCAGTCCTCTTAGGAGATTCAACTCTCACCTGTTCTGCAGCAGATTCTGCGCGAAGCGTCCTGTTCGCAGGCCGCGATTATGGCGTCGCTCGCAGCGGGGTTGCTGCGGCTCGTGCCGGTCGTGGGACCGCCGGCGGCCGCATTGCTCATCGTGCTGGTAGACAACGCTGGTGCCGTGTGCCTCGCGCTGCTCGCGATCTTCGTGTATCAATACATCAAGTGAGTGGTACTGCGCTGTAGTGAGTGTTAGCGAGTGGTGGCTTCAGTCCGAGTTGGCCGTTTCGTGAGTCGTCTCTTTAGTTACCTGATGACGCCGGTGCCGTGTGCCTCGCGCTGCGCGCGATCTTCGTGTATCAATACATCAAGTGAGTGGTGGCTTCAGTTTCATTCGGCTCGTCCTCAAGGATCGTCGCACAGCTCGCAAAGATCGTCGCGTAATGCGGGTGGCGTGTGATCAATTAGTTCGACTTCCCAATTCAGGGCCATTCCGTTTCACCTTGTGTCGTCGCAAGTTTCCATTTCGAGCGCGTCTAGCTGTATTTAATACTAGCAGCGGCTATCCGAAATTCACACTCTATCCGAAAATCATTTGTGATCGGATCATCCGGAAAAAAATAATGTCAGGAGTTTTTGTCTCCTTTTTTTTTTCCGTCTTCATTGTTGTCCTTCGAGCTACCGTCTTTGTTTATTACTGTTCGTCGTTCCGCCAACTTCCATTTCCCCCCTCCCCCTTTTTCCCCTCCCTCCCCTCACCCCGTTTTTCAGCGCGAGTTTTTTCGACCCTGAGGATCGAATCTACGGGGTGCGTGCTGACGTGGACGGCCCGGGAATCACGTACCGCCACAGCCGCTTCCAGGGCCTCCTCGAAACGCCTTTCGCGGGCGCGAACACCATCCCGGGCCTCTTCAACATGTCCGTTAAGAAGTTCCGCAGTCGCCGCCTGCTCGGCACGCGGAGATTAATCTCCCGCGAGTTCGAACACGACGCGAAGTTAGACAAGCAGGTGGAGAGAGTGACTCTCGGGGAGTACGAGTGGGAGTCGTACGAGCGCGTGCACGAGCGCGTGGGGGCGTTCGGCGCGGGGCTGATGGGGAGCGGGCATGCGCGCGGGGAGAAGCTGGCCATGTTCGCGGAGACGCGCGCGGACTGGTTTATCGCGATGCAGGGCGCGTTTCAGCACGGGCTGGTGGTGGTGACGGTGTACGCGTCTCTAGGGACGGACGCGCTGGTTCACTCGCTTAACGAGGTGAGCCTAACGAGGATGAGTTGACTCAAGTTTCCAACATGGGGCGTTTCAGCACGGGCTGGCGGTGGTGAAAGTGTACGCGTCTTTGGGGACGGACGCGCTGGTTCACTTGCTTAACGAGGTGAGCTTATAAAGAGGATGAGCTGTTTCGAGTCTGGTCTGGAGGAGGGAGGGTTACACCGTGGGCTCGTGGCGGTGGCGGTGTACGTGTCTCTGAAAGGGACGCTCTTGTGCCCTCCCTGATCGAGGTGAGTGTTGTTGAGACAGCTTATAACAAGGTCACTCACTTGCAACTTACCCATGTCCCCTTAACTGCAAATACACCTGCTGACTTCATTCTTACCCTGCTTCTCTTCTCTCCTCGTCTTCTGTTCTTCTCTACGTCCATTTACTCAGACCGAAGTGGCAACAGTGGTGTGTGATAGGAAGCAGTTTGACAAGCTTGCCGAGGTGCACTCCCGCCTCGCTACAGTGAAGCGCGTTATAGTCATGGCGGAGCAGAAGGCTGATAACGAGACAGCCAGTAACGAGGATCCGCTGCCAAGCACCATAGGGAGCATCACAGTGATTCCCTATGCTGACGTGGAGGCTAAAGGAGCGGAGAGCCCAGTGGAGCCGAGTCTGCCACAGTCGTCTGACCTGGCATTCATCATGTACACGTCAGGATCCACTGGAGTTCCCAAGGTACGTCAACCATCCAATCTCATCCGTGGCATGCTGATCACACTCCATCCCATGCCTGCCATGCCATCGCCCATCCCATGCCATCGCCCATCCCATGCCATGCCGTCCCATGTCATCCCATGGCATGCGATGGCTTGCCACCCCATCCGATCATTAACCCCTACCTCTCCTTCCCTCACAACCGCCCTTCTTCCTCCCCTCTTTCCATTCTCTCTCTCTCCTGGACGTCGCCCTTCCCCCTTCCATACCACGCACCTCCTCTCGTTTAGGGTGTGATGATGACGCACGGCAACCTGGTGGCAGTCTTTGCGGCAGTCATGGCGCTCGTGCCACGTGCACACTCCCTTCCCTCCCATCCCGTCCCCTCCGTTCCCCTCTGTTCCCCTCCCCTCCCCTCGCCCTCCGCAGGACGTGATGATGACGCACGGCAACCTGGTGGCAATCTTTGCAGCGGTCATGGCGCTCGTGCCACGTGCACCCGCTCATCCTCTCCCCCCTTCGCATTCCTTCTTCCTGTGCATCCCCATACATATCCCCCCCTCCCTTTAGGGCGTAATGATGACGCACGGCAACCTGGTGGCGGTCTTTGCAGCGGTCATGGCGCTCGTGCCCGATGCCGATGAGAACGATGTGTACATCGCCTACCTGCCCCTCGCACACTCCCTTGAGCTCACTGCTGAGGTGAGTTTCAGTGAAGTGGGGAGTGTCAGTCAGTGAAGTGGGGAGTGTCAGTCAGTGAAGTGGGGAGTGTCAGTCAGTGAAGTGGGGAGTGCTGGTTTTAGGCTCTCTGGGTACTTGAAGCCCCACCAAATGGCCTAGCAGCAGTCATGGCGCTCGTGCGGGATACTAACAAGAACGAGGTGTACATGGCCTATCTGCCCCTCGCACACTCCGAGGGGCTCACCGTGGAGGTGAATGGGTTGCGTTGGAAGGGTTGCAAAATCGTGATGGGGAGGAGAACGATGTGTACATGGCCCTACCTGCCCTGGCCTCGCGCATTCCCTCGAGCTCACTGCTTAGGTGAGTGGGTTGTGATAAAAGTGAAGTTTTGAGACGTCTCAAAACTTCACTTTTATCACGTGGCATTCCCTCGAGCTCACTGCCTAGGTGAGTGGGTTGTGTTTGGAGGCTCGTCGTTGACGTGGCTCTGCGGCCCACTCTAACACACGCTCTCTCTCCCTCTTGCCCCTCCCAACATGCCTTGGCATACCGCATCCATCAGACGGGCATGGTGTCGATAGGAGCAAGCATCGGGTATGGCTCGCCCCTCACGGTGATCGACGGAGCAGGCAAGCTCAAGCCCGGAGCCAAGGGCGATCTGTCCACGCTGCGCCCCACCCTCATGGCTGCCGTGCCCGCCATTCTGGATAAGATCAGAGACGGCGTCAGGCGCAAGGTGAGTGCGGTGGTATCCGGTGAATAAAGGTGGGCGTGAGGTGGTATGCGGTGGTGTGCGGTGAAGCAAGGTGAGTCCAGGGTAGGAAGCAGAGTGTCGCTGTGATGGCAACTCAGATGGCAACCCAGTCCCCCACGGTGCCGTGCAGTAGCTGTTCCAGGTAGCTCACAGCCATCGATTCACAGAGATCAACAATCAGCAGCCCTTTGAGCGCGTGATCCCCTTCCCCAGTGCTTTCCCTCCCATACCCCCACCGGTCCTCCCTTTTCCCCACCTTCCCCTCTTCTCCCTTTCCTCAGATTAGATTTTTTTAGAATTCTAAAAAAATCCCCACCTTCCCCTCTCCTTCCTCTCGTCAGATGGCAACGCAGTCCCCCACGGTGCAACAGCTATTCGACCTCGCTTACAGCCGTCGATTGGCGGCGATCAACGGCAGCTGGGCGGGCGCGTGGGGGCTGGAGAAGATGCTGTGGGACGAGCTTGTCTTCAAGCGCATCCGGGCGGCGGTGGGCGGCAGGCTGCGCTACATGCTGTCGGGGGGGGCGCCACTGTCGCCTGACACTCAGCGCTTTATCAACGTGTGCTTCAAGTGAGTGCTGCTGTGCCCTGGTGTGCTTGCACGTTGCGAATGGTGGTGTGCTGCTAAGGCAGCGCAGCCTGCTAGGCAGCGCAGCCTGCTAAGACAGCACAGCCTGCTAAGACAGCGCAGCCTGCTAAGACAGCGCAGCCTGCTAAGGCAGCGGAGCCTGGTGTAATCCTTGAAGACGATGCAGCACAGCAGGCTGCGCTACGTGCTGTCGGGGGGAGCCCCCCTGTTGCCTGACACACAGCGGTTCATCAACGTGTGCTTCAAGTGAGTGCTGCTGGCGTGCGTTTGCATGTGACGACTGGGAGTGCCCTGTGTCATTTTCAAAGAGCATGCGTGGTACGTGCTGTCGGGGGGAGTGCCACTGTCAACTGACACTCAGCGGTTCATCAACGTGTGCTTCAAGTGAGTGCTGCTGTGTGTGTGCGCGCATGTGTGTGCATGCTGCTACTAGGAGAGTGTTGGGTTCAACTCAAAGGGCATGCAGCACAGACGGCTACGCTACATGCTATCTGTGGGGGCACCCCTGTCACACGACACTCAGCGCTTCATCAGCATGTGCGTTAAGAGAGTGCTGCTGTGTGTTGCTGTGTGCTTCTCAAAGAGCATGCGTGGTACGTGCTGTTGGGGGGGGCACCCCTGTCAACCGAAACTCAGCGCTTCATCAGCATGTGCTTAAGTGAGTGCTGCTGTGTGTGTTGCTTCTGTGCTGCTGCTGTGTCCTACTTACTGTGCGTGCATGTCCCGACTTAGGAGAGGGGTGTGCTATAGCTAGAGAGCATGCAGCGCGCAGCAGGCTGCGGTTGATTGTTTAGGCGCCTCAAAAATCAACTCAAAGCACGCAGCAGGCTGCGGTTAATTGTTTAGGCGCCTCAAAAATCAACTCAAAGCACGCAGCAGGCTGAGATACATGCATGGTGTTGAAAAGGGCGCCCCTGTTGCCTAAAACGGAGCTGTGCGTGCGTGCTAATTCCAGGTTCCAACACCCTCTCATCCGCAGTTTCTCCCTTATCTCATGTGCCGTGTCTCGTTTTTCCCCGTTCCCCTCTTGTCTCATGCACCGTTCCTCATTTTCCAACCTGCAGCGTTCCGATTGGCCAGGGCTACGGGCTTACAGAAACTTGCTCTGGAGGAACCTTCGCAGAATTTTCTGACACCTCTGTGGGGAGAGTCGGGCCACCTATCCCCTGCTGCTACATCCGGGTGAGTCCTGCATGCCCTGAACGCTCAATTTTATGTAGACGTCTCAAAACATTCCCTGCTGCCACATCCGGGTGAGTTCTGCATGTGCTGAACACTCAATTTTATTTGGAGACGTCTCAAAACATTCCCTGCTGCCACATCCGGGTGAGTTCTGCATGCCCTGAACGCTTAACTTAACACTGCTGCTACATTCGAGTGGGTCCACAGCGCTGCTACACCCAGGTGGGTCCCACACTGCTCCATCTGAGTGGCATTTCCCTCATGAGGTTACCGTGTGTGGCAGCAGTGTGGGATTACAGCCATGTTCATGTGTTACCGCTTAGCAGCACTTTCTCATTGCGTTACCGTATTACCATGTCATTCTTCACTTTCTCACACCCCCTCCTCTCTCCCTCTCCCTTTTGACCCAGCTCTTGGGCTGGGAGGAGGGCAACTACTGCGTGACAGATCATCAGCTGTGTTACCATGTTACCACAACATGCTTCAATGATCCGTGATCTCTGCTCTCCCCTCTTTCCCTCTTTCTCCATCTGACCCAGTGACAACCACACCGGACTAGCACGAGTGTAACTATCATGTGACAGACCAGCCGTGTTACTATATAACCACCCCTTCTCCGATCATGATCTCTCCCCCTTCTTCTCTCCCCCCCTTCTCTCTCTCAGCTGGTGGACTGGCACGAGGGCAACTACCGGGTGACAGACCAGCCGCTGCCGCGGGGGGAGATCATGATTGGAGGGCCGTGTGTCACCCCCGGGTACTGGAAGAACCAGGAGGCCACTGATGCCGTGTACTCGGTGAGTGGGTGTGCACAGCGGTGTGAAGCGGTGGGGATGAGTGTGCACAGAGATGTGAGGGAAGAGGGGAGGAGGGAGGTGTGCGTACAGGGAGGAGAGAGGTAGCATGCGTGGATGGCAAGGGCATCAGGTGGTTTGCAATGGGCAACATGGGGGGAGGTGCATCTGGATGGGTCGAACTGCAAATCACTCTTCCTTCTCTTCCGCTCTTCCTTCTCTTCCGCTCTTCCTTCTCTTCCGCTCTTCCTTCCTTCTCTTCCGCTCATCCTTCTCTTCCACACTACTCCTCTTTCTCCACCTTTCTCCTCAGGTGGACAGCAAGGGCATACGGTGGTTTGCAACGGGCGACATAGGGGAGGTGCACCCTGATGGGGTGTTTCAGATCATCGACAGGAAGAAAGACATTGTGAAGCTGCAGGCGGGCGAATACGTGTCGCTGGGGAAGGTGAGAGGGCCGGGAGGGTAAGGGCAGGGCAATAGCTGGTTGGCAGCTCTCCAATGGAAGGGTAAGGAGGTGCATCATCGACAGGAAGAAAGACTTTGTGAAGCTGCAGGTGGGCGAATACGTGTCGCTGGGGAAGGTGAGAGGGCCGGGAGGGTAAGGGCAGGGCAATAGCTGGTTGGCAGCTCTCCAATGGAAGGGTAAGGAGGTGCATCATCGACAGGAAGAAAGACTTTGTGAAGCTGCAGGTGGGCGAATACGTGTCGCTGGGGAAGGTGAGATGTCTGAGGATCGTACACGATGGTGCTGATTGACAAGGTGAGATGTCTGAGGATCGTACACGATGGTGCTGATTGACAAGGTGAGATGTCTGAGGATCGTACACGATGGTGCTGATTGACAAGGTGAGATGTCTGAGGATCGTACACGATGGTGCTGATTGACAAGGTGAGACATCTCACCATCCGCACCATCTCGTACCAGATGGTGCGTACTCTGGGGGCGGGATGTGTTGCAGCACGGTCTTTTGTGCTTCTTCCAGCGATGTCAACGCCAGCCGCACGTTTGAGTTCTCTTCAGCCCTTGCATTCTGATTGAGCCAGGTGGATGCAGTGCTGCAATTGAGCCGCTATTTCGACAACCTCATGCTCTAAGCAGATTCCTTCAAATGCAACCCCCCCTTAAAAGCACTCTTCTGGTGTTCATTTCTCCCTTTTCTCTTTGTATTCCGACCGCCAGGTGGAGGCGGTCCTTCAAGTGAACTCCTTCGTCGAGAACGTCATGCTCTATGCCGACCCATTCATATGCACTCACAGTCAACCCGAACCGCACTGCCCTTACATTTTCGTGTGTTCATTTCTCCCTTTTCTCCTTGTATTCTGACCGCCAGGTGGAGGCAGTGCTGCAAGTGAGCTCCTTTGTCGAGAATGTGATGCTCTATGCCGACCCGTTCAAGACTTTCACCATAGCCCTCGTGGTGCCGTCCAAGCCGGCCCTGGTCGCCTGGGCCAAGGCTCAGGGTGTGGATAGCTCTGACTATGCCGCGCTGTGTGCGAATCCCGATGCTGTCTCTCAAGTGCTCAAGTCGCTTGGCGAGGTGAGGTGGCTGGATGTAGGCCGACGGTGGTTCAAAGTAGGATCATCTTGGTCCTCCTTGATTCCCTCGTAAGCCAGAACTTGGTTTTATTCAAATATTTCCATGCTTTGCACGGATTTTCACCTGGTTTTGCCGTGTCTTACCGTGGAACAAACAGGTGAGTAAGGAGGGCAAACTCCAAAAGTTTGAAGTGCCTGTGAGGATCAAGCTTCTCCAAGAGCCGTGGACCCCTGACAGCGGCCTGTTGACAGCAGCCTTGAAGCTGAAGCGGGATGTTGTTCGCCGAAAGTTCCAGCAGGACCTTGATGCTCTGTATGACTAGCTGACTTCACATCAATCAAACTCTTAGATATGTTATTTGAAACTCACAAATGAACTGCACTTGTATCGATGTTCTCGGCAGCGAAACTTGACCACAAGATGGCCTTGCGCGACATGCTCCGATGGATTCCCCAGAGGGAATATCTTCACCATCAACGGTGCAGCCTACGGTCCTGCTGAGCCGAACCCAACAACAAACATGGGGGATCTGAACGAAACAAACAAACGGTGACCAATCAAGATAGACTTGTTCGGGTTCGATGCTGCCCAACATGTGAATTCGACGAACCAGGTGATCCCTTGTCCCACACGGGGAAAAAGTTCGACTCTTGTGCGCGCTGCCCATGTGCCATTCCCCGGCCTGGTGACGACTTCGCCGAAAGGACCAAGGGGGCATTGATGCAGGTCACCTTCCCCGATAATTTTCCTCCGACGAATTCAAACCCTAACTCTGCTCTGATTGGCTTGGCTGACTAGCTTTCTGCGTCGGCACCACCAATCCCTAGCTGCAAAGCGAGTTTCGCCGTCTTTACTTCATTCGTAGGGTTACAAATTCATGAGGTCGAGGAAGCTCGCAGCCAGGCGACACTGCCGTCATCACAGTCGGGCGAATGCAGAAACATCGTCGGCGAGTCGTTGGAAAGCATGTGCGACGAGTGCCATTTCTTCCTCCCGCTCAAAACCTAGGCTCACCGCCGCGCCCATATCCCCCACGCCTAGCCTCCAAACATGCGCGCACGCGGTAGGCGCAAGACCAGGGGAAAGACAGACGGGCGGAAATGAATTTCGAAGACTTTCTTCCGCCACCTTGCCCCTCCCATCCATCCCTCGTCCAGCCGCGCACCTCACTCCTACGCTCCAGACGTCATCCGCGCCTTTCCTTTAATGCGCCTCCCCCCCCACCCGCCCTCCGCGCATGTTGGGGAGTTTCGTCTTTCCGCACCCAACCCAAATCGTTTTGCCGACAGAAGATGAAATACGTCGTCCCGCCATTGCAACAACACGTCGAACGATTGTGAGACTGCTAGATCGCCGCTCTTCTCAACTCGAAGCTCCTCGCTTCTCACTCTTGCTTTCTGTTCGTGTCAACCGTAGCTCCACACGCATCGCCAAGACAAGGAAGACTTAGAAGAGCGCGAAGATCAAGACTCGGTTTTTGTTTCGGAACTACCTGAATATTACCTGTCTCCTCGCAAGCAACCCTTTCTGTCCCACTCCCTCACCATGGCCGGATCGCCTTTTCCCCGCGCGCACGAGAACGGACATGCAACACAACATGGCACCCACCCCAAAGGTGAAACGTCAGTGGGCCTCCAACATCGCGTCGGCTTTCCAAACAAGCTTCATTTCTCGCACGACTTCCCGTCGATCTATGCTCCGCTGCCCTTCTCCAGTTGTTCTTTCTTTGGTTTCTTCATGAAACATCCGGCTAACCAGACCGGAGACGATTGTGCGACGATTGTTAACCGTCCAATTGTGTGGTGGATCTGTTGATGATCGCAGAGGTTTGCATCGTGGCGGCGGCGCGCACGCCAATGGGTGGCTTCATGGGCGCCCTCTCGTCTCTCCCTGCCACCCAACTTGGATCGGTCGCCATCAAAGGTGAGCTCTGCACTCTGCGCTCTGCGTTTTGCGCTACTACACACCGTTGATTGGCAGTGTGCAGTGCTTCTCTTCCTGTCTCTTGTCTCCTGTGAGAAAGCGCGAACTTTGTCGTTCATATGAATATTTTCCATTAGACAACGCCTTTCTTTTCCCGTTTCCCACGAAATTAAAGCCGAATAATTCCAAGTAGACTTATATTTTCATTCACCAGTCTGGTCCATATTATCTAGTTTCCTGACGAAATTTATTCTCTCCTCGTCTCCATCCCCACAGAGGCCGTGCGGCGCTCCGGCCTGGAGCCTGCTGACGTGGAGGAGGTGATCATGGGCAACGTGCTCAGCGCGAATCTCGGCCAGGCGCCCGCGCGCCAGGCGTCCATGGGCGCGGGCCTCCCCGAGACCGTCGTCGCCACCACCGTCAACAAAGTGTGCGCGTCGGGCATGAAAGGTGCGAAGACGCTTCATCTGCACAAAGCGTTTTCTCGTGTGGATTTCGCAGGATGGTGCATTTCCGCTCAAGCGTGTCCTTTGTCTTCGTCGCTTCGTCCGAGACCCGCTTCGTCCGAGACCCGCTGTCCGTCGTCATCTCGCTCTCTGCCCTAATTTCCATCTTCACTCACTTCCCCCTTTCTCCGCTATTTGCCCTGTCTACCCCGTCTCCCCCGTCTCCCGGTTCTCCCCCCATCTCCCCCCTCATCCCCCCTTTCCCCCCGACACAGCCATCGCGCTGGCGGCGCAGTCAATCATGCTGGGGATCAACGAGGTGGTGGTGGCGGGCGGCATGGAGAGCATGAGCAACGCGCCGTATTACCTCTCCAAGGCGCGCGGCGGCTACCGCTTCGGCAACGCGGAGATCATGGACGGCATGCAGCGCGACGGGCTGTGCGACGCGTACGCGGACGACCCCATGGGATGCTTCGCGGAAACCTGCGCGGAGGAGTATAACATCTCGCGCGCGGACCAGGACGACCACGCTGTGCTGACGCACCAGCGCGCCGCAGCGGCGAATGCGGAGGGGGCGTTTGAGTGGGAGATCGTACCGGTGGAGGTGAAGGTGGGGAAGGGTAAGCCGGCTTTAATCGTCGATCGCGACGAGGCGTGCGCGAAGTTCGACGAGAAGAAGCTGCGGAATCTGCGGCCGTGTTTTAAGGAGCACGGGACGGTCACGGCGGGGAACGCGTCGGCGATTAGCGACGGCGCCGCGGCCGTGGTGCTGACGAGCCGCGGCAAGGCGGACAGCCTGGGGCTCAAAGTGCTCGCCGTGATTCGCGGCTTCGCTGACGCCGAGCAGGTGAGGGCCGTTGCCAAGCCGTTGCGTGGCGCGAGAGACATGGGAAGGGCAAACGGGGGTGAGAAGGGCGATCAGTTCACATCTCCCAGGATGCACATTCCCCCTCCCCTCCCCCGCTCCGCTGCTCCCCGTCGCCCTCTCCCCCTCCCCCCACTTCCCCAAGTCCAGCCCCCGCTTCACCACGTCTCCCGCGCGCCCCTTTCCGCGCGCCTTGAAGCAGCAGTGCCATCCCGCGCACACTCTGCAGCACCATGTCGTGTGCGCGCATTGATGTTCCCCCCTCCCTTGTCTTGTGCTCCTATCCTCCCTTTCCCCCCCCTTCCCCGCCCTTTCAGGCCCCTGAGCGCTTCACCACGGCCCCCGCGCTCGCCATTCCGCGCGCGTTGAAGCATGCGCGCATCGACCCCGCGGAGGTCGACTGCTGGGAGATCAATGAAGCCTTCTCCGTACGTGCCACCGCCCCTCATGCCGCCCCTCATGCCGCCCCTCATGCCGCCCCTCATGCCGCCCCTCCTGCCGCCCCTCCTGCCGCCCCTCCTGCCGCCGCCCCTTCCGTCCCTCCTGCCGCCCCTCCTGCTTTCCTGCTCCCAGTTGCATCTTACCTTCTTCTCCTTCCTTCACCTGCTTCATCTCCATCTGCCTTCTCTTACTCGGGTTGTACCCGTCTCTACCTACTCTCGCCTGCCCTCCTCTCTCTACCCCCTCCCACCTCCTCCCCTCTCCCCTGCTCCCGCTCTCCATCCCCTCCCACCGGCCTTCGCTCTTCCTCCTCCCCCCGCTGCTTCACTCATGTGACTTTCGCCCCTGCCCACTCCATTTTCCCTGCCTGCTCCACTCGCCCCCTCCCACCCCCTCCTCCGCGCTTCCAGGTGGTGGCACTGGCCAATCAGAAGCTGCTGAACGTGCCGGCAGATCGACTCAACATGCATGGAGGCGCCGTGGCGCTCGGGCACCCGCTGGGGTGCAGCGGGGCGCGCATCATTGTCTCGCTGCTGGGGGTGAGTGTGGCTTAGGGTATGCGTGTGTGAATGTGATGCGCGTGAGTGTCGCTTGAGCTTGGGGTAGGGGTGGGTGGCTGGGTAACGGGCTATATTTGGAATGTGCGTGGAGGCACTGTGGCGCTCGCGCACCCATGTGAGTGGAGTGAGTGTGCACGTGAGTGTGGCTTGGAGCAGGAGTGTGTGGAAGCAGTGGGGCTGAAGGGACCTTCATAAGGGGCAGGGGGTGTGAGTGGCATTGTTCTGCTGCTTGGCGTGAGGGGCACTGGTGAGTGTAACGACCGTGGGTTGGATAAGGACATGCTAGTTTCCCTTCACTCACGGGTTCTGGTCTGATGCTAATACTTCCCTTACTGCGGAACCACCCCTTTGTGTTTCCACCAATCAGGTGCTGCGGCGGAAGGGTGGCCAGATTGGTGTTGCTGGTGTGTGCAACGGGGGAGGTGGAGCCTCTGCCATGGTCATCGAGGCCGAGTAAGCATTTTCTTCCCTGCTCTCGCATTTTTCTTTCTCTCCACCTCTCCTTCCCTCCGCCCTTCCTTCCACCATTTTCACACCTGTTCCTGCGCTTAATCTCTGTGTTAACATGCTTCGTCCTCCCCATCCGCCCTTCTACTCCATTGAGCCGGTTGCTTCCAGGCAGGCACTCACCATGTGTCTGCTGTTGTCTGCGTGTCTTGTTTGTGTTTGTGACACTTATCTATGTGCAGATCCTTGGATCACTCCACTGCCCATGCGCACCTGTGATTTAAGGGGTTCTTTCAGGATACCTGAATATGCGGATTGCTTCTATTCGTGTGTTTCCTTTTATGGTTTGCTCCTTGTGTGAGCGGTTGAGGCCTCTCAATAGGGTGCCTTGTGATTGGTGCTCCCTTGAGCCGCCTCAACAGCACACCCTGTTGAATGCTCCTGGCTCCCTTTGTCTACTTGGACTAGAATCCTCCAGCAAATGCAATCTCTCCCGTTGCTTGTGGAAAACGTGTAATGTACTTCTATGATACATGTACGGAAAACGTTTTTGTTAAAGTGTAGATAATAAGCTTAGGCCGGGTCACATTACCAAAAAAACGATGGACAAACGGTTTGAGTCGGTGAAAACTCGGAATCGTCTTCGACCCGTTTCTAACGTACCGTGACCCGCCGTTACTTCACTCACGCACTCTTCTTGCGAGCTGGCCGTAGTCAAGTGGTCCTTCGAAGTATACGAACATGACGTCATCAGCCCAACTTCCTCGCTCTTGCCCAGCTCCCGCATCAGTTTTTCCTGCATTCCCGCCATCTGTTATATCAAACCGATTGTGACTCACACATATCGACGGTTCACAATTGTTTGGTGGCGCTGCTGACAGAGGAACCCAGCCCAGCAGCTTCGGAACGATTGTCTTTCGCTACTATGAAGTTACAGATAAACGCTTGTCGCCAGCTCTTCGTCGAAGGGCGAGTCAGAGGGAAATGCAGGGATTCGCGGCAGACTAGGCTGTTCGCTGTTTCTCCTCGGAATCATTTGCTGAAGTAAAGCGGAATCCATGGCGTCGAGTATCTTCGTCCTCCCCATTCGCATCTCAATCTATTGTTCTAGCAGTTTTTAATAGACTTCTGGAAACGAATACAGGCTGTTGAACTGCTGACTTCTGGGTTTGTGAAAACCGAGCTTGAGATTCGGTTTCCACCTGAGTTGTGTCTCAGCCATTGTTCAAGCGACAGTCCCGTGATTTGTATATATCCGAAGAGTACTAGCAACGCGCTTTTACGATCTCGTAGGCACAAGCTTAGTTTGAGACGTCTTAGAAGTAGCCTCCACGCGTTCAATCTTCAAATAAGCATGTCGAACCTCTTAGGTCCCTCCGGCACCTCAACGTTCCCGTCACCGCTTTTCGAGGCGACTCAAAACTCGACGTTCCCGTCGCCAACCTTCGCCAGCGCACCTTGGGATTCCATGTTCCCGCCGGCGCAAGGATGCGCCGCGACTTCTTCCGCGATTCCCCCCTCTGACTGGGCTCTGAATCCCGACCCTCCGGCAGTAGATTGTACCGTCTCTTCGGCATCGCCGATTTTCTCTTCGTTTCAAACCAACCTCGAGATTGCTCCAGAAGGACTAGCTCACGCCGTTGCATGCTCGGAAGGGATCCACCTGGAGTCTTATCCGCCAGCTCAGGCGGTTCCTTCTGGGTCTTCGGGCCACGTCAGCAGCGCGGCGTCGGGACTTGTCTGGGATCAGGTGCGACATCTGCTGGCGGACGGAGAGGAGGCGGAGGAGAAGGGGAATGGATTTGACAGGATGAGTAGATTCGAGAAACACGCTGAAGTTGATGAACGAATAGGGTGGGGAAGGGGTGGCGGAGGGGAAAAGGAGGAGAAGGTCGCTCAGTTAAGATCCGCTCTGCCCGTTGGAGATGAGTTGGTTGTCGCACCTCCTGTCGCTTCCGCTGTCGTTCCCCCTCCCGCTTCCGCTTCCCCCTCCCCGCTGTCTGCTGTCGCGGCGGAGGGCGAGCCGATCTTCCTCCCTGCTTGCCCGGACGGCTGCGATTGCGCAGGCTGCCAGCTGTTGCATTTTCATTGGCTCGACCGGTTCTCCCCCGCACCTTATTCTGGGATTGGGGAGGGTGGCGGATGGGTTGCGCGGAAAGGGGACGACGCGGAGAGGAGCGGAACGGGTGGCGCAGAAGTGCTGTTGCGGAGGGACGCGACGGGCGCAGGAGCAGAGGCGGGCGGAGGAATAGCGATGAGCGGAGGAACGGGGGAAGGCGGAGGAGCGGAGGAGCAGGGGGCGCCTCTCCCTCCTACGTTCACGCCTCCTTTCGCACCTCATTTCTCCGCCTCTTCGTTTCCGCCATCGTTTCCGCCATCGTTTCCGCCATCGTTTGCGCCATCGTTTGCGCCCTCCTTCACGCCATCGTTTACACCGTCGTTCACGCCTGCGACCGCCGCCTCGTGCCCGCCTCCCTCCGCGCGACTCCCTGGCCTCGCCTCCCCGAGTCCTCCTCGCAAGCGACCGCTGCTGCTCGCCCCGCCTGTCGCCGCTGCCACTCTGAGCGCCACACGTGGCAGCACACGTGGCGTTACGACTGAGTTGACCACCACACAGTACGTTGCTGGCGAAGCGAGCTTCGCTGGGAGCATTGGTGTGAGCATCGGTGGAAGCATTGGTGTGAGCATCGGTGGAAGCATTGGTGTGAGCACCGGTGGAAGCATTGGTGTGAGCATCGGTGGAAGCACCGGCGTCAAGGCAACTAGTACTGCTGTTAAGACGACCAACAAAATCGCGTCTGCCGCCCACAACAGCAGCTTTCCTGGCGCTCGCCGCCCGGCCGACATGTCCTCCAGGCTGGCACAGCTGCTGGAGGAAATCAAATCTCCAGGCCGGGCGGCAGCAGCCTCCGCTGCCGCGTCACCTGCAAATACAGCCGGGGTGGGCGCCGTTAGCAGAGATCTGATTCGCCGGCCAGTGATTCGCCATGTGGCGGGGCGCAAGAGGGCGAGCCAGCCACGTGACAGCATGAAAGCTCCTAGCACGTGGCGGCCGTGTGTTGATTCGCCTCACAGCACGCATAGTCGCCTCAGTAGTGACTCGGGCAGCGAGAACAGCAAGAGTGGTAGTGGTAGTGGCAGCGGCAGTGGCAGGGACAGCGGCAGCGGCAGCGGCAGTGGTAGGAGTGGCAGCGACAGTGTCCCTCCGTCCCCTCCATCGTCCCTCGCGCTCGTTCCCTCGCACTGCTACACCTCGCGACCTGCTGCTGCTGCCTTCGCATCCATTCTAGGCACGTGCGTAGCAAACCCCAGTCCAGACAATTTACATAGTCCGGGCAGTCTGGGCAGTCCGGGCAGTTCGGGCAGTCCGGGCAGCAGCAGAAACCAGAAAGGTCCCTTTGAGTCCTTTTCCCGGGTCACCAGCCTGAACCTCCGAGGGGCCTACCCGCCCCTGGGCGTTGAAACGTCCTGGAGTCCGACTAACCTGACCCACCCTCCAGTCTTCTCGCCTCTGCCTTACCCTCCCTCTTTCTCAACCCCATTCCCGGGCCACCTGGCTTACCTGGGCCAAACTGGAAGCGTGGGGGGTCTAGAGCGGTACCAGCCTCTCCAGCACTGTCTACCGCCTGCGGAGGTTTCTGCCACGTGGCAGAATGCCACTGGCCGATCAACGCCGTCAAGCAGGTCAACGGGAGGTGCAAGCGCGGCTTCCAGGAAGCGAAGGGCGAGCTCTGGAGGGGGGAAGGTGGGAGGGGAACAAGGGAAGGGGGGGACAGCGGGGGAGGGCGTCTGGCGGGGGAGCAGTGGGGCTGGCGGGGCGCAGTTGGCAGGGGCGGGGGCAGGGACAGGGGCAGCATCACCAGCAGATTCTTCAGACGGGGCAGGGGCAGGTTTCTTACCGGGTAGAGGGCTGGATGGTGCTATGCTGGGGCAGATGGGACAGATGGGCCAGATGGGGGGAATGGGCCAGATGGGGGGAATGGGCCAGATGGGGGGAATGGGCCAGATGGGGGGAATGGGCCAGATGGGGGGAACGGGCCAGATGGGGGGAACGGGCCAGATGGGGGGAATGGGCCAGATGGGGGGAATGGGCCAGATGGGGGGAACGGGCCAGACGGGGCAAATGGGGCTTGATGCATCTGCGCTTGAGCGCATGGGGGTGAATCCGGGCATGTTCGCAGGCATGGGGGTGGATGCGGGCGTGTTGAGGGGCATGGGCGTGGACATGGGCATGCTGCAAGCCATGGGCGTGGATGCTGCCATGCTGCACAATCTAGGGTTCACTCCTGAATCATTAGAACAGCTAGGCTTGGGGGGCGCGGCTAGCGGTTGTGCTGGTAGTGGTGGTGGTGATGGCGGTGGCGCTGCTGCTGGTGCTGCTGATGCTGCTAGTACGCGCCCTGGTTGCTCTGCTGACGCTTCTGGTGGCGATGGGGAGTGGAGGGGCGAGGACGGGAGGGACGAGGAGGAAGAGATGGAGCAGGGGGAGGAGGAGGAGAGGGGGGGGAGTGGAAGGGGAGGAGGGGAGGAGGAGGAGGTGTCGATGGCAGTGGTGCTGCAGAGGCTGGAAGAGTTGGCAGAGGCCTCGGCAGCACGTGATGAGGTACGTCCCCAAACCAACGGAAATTGTAGCCTTTGAGAGATTTTGGCAGCAAAATGGTAGCAGGTGGTTTTTAGGATTCTCAAAAGCTAGGTGCGGTGCAGCAAAAGCTGAAGGATCTGGCAGAGGCAACAGCAGCACGCGATGAGGTCCGTCTCTTCACCAAATTAGCAATTCTTGACCTAGGAGTGCAACTCCAGGTCCTCAGCACGTGGCCTTGTTTCCCCCCACACTCCCCCCCTCTCAAACCCCCTCTTCCACCAGATCCTCTCCTGCCACCTGCTGCCCCACATGCGCCCACTGGTCAACGAGCAAGGCAATGCAGCACAGCTGGTGGCAGCCCACGTCACCCAGGCCATTCACCCCCCCCTCCCCCCTCCTCTTTCATATTCCCCTTCTCTCTCTCGGCCTCCCCTGTCCCCAGACCCTTTCCCGGCAGCTGTTGCCCCACCTGCGCCCACTGGTGAACGAGCGCGGAACTTTTGAGTCGACTCAAAAGTCAGTGCGGAACTGCAGCACAACGAGTAGCAGCGCACTTCACCCAGGCGCTCGCAGCCAGGCAGGCGGGGTGCGGGGTGGGGCAGAGCAGTACAATCGCGGGCTCAACGCGTCCTCCCAGGAGATCGCAGCCTCCATGCACATCACCACACGACCACGCTCCCTCCTCACCCCCTCTCACTCCCTTCCCTTCTCTCTCTCCCTCCCCCTCTCTCTCTCACTCCCTCCCCTTTCCCCAGACCCTTTCCCGGCGGCTGCTGCCCCACCTGCGCCCACTAGTCAACGAGCACGGAACTGCAGCGCAGAGAGTAGCAGCCCATTTCACGCAGGCCCTGGCAGCTCGGCAGGCGGGATGCGGGGCAGAGCAGTACAATCGCGGGCTCAACGCGTCCTCCCAGGAGATCGCAGCCTCCATGGAGCGCTGCTTCGCCTCGCTGCCCTATCTGGACTTCTGCCACGTGGCGGCCATGCGGCCTGTGCTGGCGGCGGTGAACGGCAGCCGTCGGATTCATATGATTGTGTTTGGGTTCTGGATGGGCCGGTACTGGCTGGAGCTGCTGCAGGTGAGGGTGGTGCTGCAGTTGAGGGTTTTACCGCTGATGCCTAATGAGGGTGTGCTGCCTCACAACCCTTATGCATGGTATGCTGCCGCTCTCCTAATGCTTCTCACCATCCCAGTATCAAAACTCTGAATCCTTCTATGCCGTCCCCCGTCACCTCACCATTGCAACATCAGCCCCACAAAGCTTTGGTGCTCACAAGGCTTATGGGGCTCACAAGGCTTATGGGGCTCACAAGGCTTATGGGGCTCACAAGGCTTATGGGGCTCACAAGGGCTCACAAAGATTGCACTCCTCTTGCGGCTGTTCCAACCTTCAACCAATCACCTTCCATCTGCCCCCACCCTTTCCGCTTCAGCCTCCCTCTTGTGCCCCACCCAGCCCTTCGCAGCCTTTGCAGGGGCCCCGCCTACCCTGCAAGTATATGCATCGACATCACATGCCGCAACGAGCTCACCACTCCAAGTCCTCTGCTGCCTTCCCTTGTCTTCCCTTCACCCCTGTCTTTCTCACCCTCCCTCCCAGGCCCTAGCAGCCTTCCCAGGGGGTCCGCCCTCCTTCTCTTCGAGTGACAGGCATTGACATCACATGCAGGAACGAACTGACAGACTCAAGTCCTCTGCTGCCTTCCCTTGTCTTCCCTTCACCCCTGTCTTTCTCACCCTCCCTCCCAGGCCCTAGCAGCCTTCCCAGGGGGTCCGCCCTCCCTGCGAGTGACAGGCATTGACATCACATGCAGGAACGAACTGACAGACTCCAAGTCCTCTGCTGCTTTCTCCGGCCGCCTGCTCTCCCGCGCTGCCGCTGCCCTCGCCATCCCCTTCCGCTTCAAGGCCGTTGTTCTCCCTGTCGGCCCCGCTGCTGCTGCCGCGCCGCTGGGAGGAAAGGCAGGGGGTGGCGGAGGGGGGATGGGGGCGGGGGGAAGCGGGGGAGGATCCGGGGGGAGTGGGGGAGGGGGTGGGGGAGGGTTTGGGGGGGCGATGGGGATGCGGTCGGTGGTGGGGGGGTTGGTGGAGGAGGTGGAGGTGGAGGAGGGGGAGGCGACGGTGGTGCAGTGCAACATGAGCCTGCTCTTCCTGGCGGATGACTCCGTGCTGCGGGCCAACCCACGCGACACGCTCCTCAGGGTGAGTGCTGGGCAGAGCAATTAAGCGCGCATGGGAAGGTGAGTGCTTGTTGGAGCAAGCCCGCCAGGGCTGGATGGGTAGGTGGGTTGTTGTTTAAGCAGGCACGGGCACAGAGTAGGGTGAGATGCGTGGAAGCGATGGTGGTGCAGTGCAACATGAGTCTGCTTTTCCTGGCTGATGACTCGGTGCTGTGCTCCAACCCGCGCGACACGCTCCTCAGGGTGAGTGCTGGGTGCAACAGGCACGGGGGGCTGAGTGTAACGGACATGCCCACAGGGTAGGGTTCACGGTGGGGGCGACGGTGGTGCAGTGCAACATGAGCCTTCTGTTCCTGACTGATGACTCGGTGCTTCGCTCCAACCCGCATGATCCACTGCTGTGGGTTAGTGCTGGGTGGAGCAGGCATGCCAGGTGTCGTTGAAACAGGTACGTGGGGGCTGGGTGGACTCCCCCCCCCACCCACCACTGTGGTCATCCACATGGCCACGCCTCTCAACCCACCCTTCTCCCTCTCCCGCCCCCGCTTTCTCCTTCCGCCACACCCCAACTGCCGTTGTGAGCGGCCTTCCGGTGGAGTGGATCCGTTTGCTCTCCCCACCTTCACCAGAGCTGAATTCTCAAAAAACAGATTCACTCACCACCGTCATCATGAGCTGAATTCTAAATTGACAGATTCACTCACCACCGTCACCAGAGCTCGAAAAACAGATTCACTCACTCACCACCGTCACCAGAGCTGAATTCTCAAAAAACAAATTCAATCACCACCGTCATCATGAGCTGGATTCTAAAAAGACAGATTCACTCACCACCGTCACCAGAGCTCGAAAAACAGATTCACTCACTCACCACCGTCACCAGAGCTGAATTCTCAAAAAACAAACATATTCACGCACCACCGTCATCATGACCTTTCCTTGCTTGCAGCGTGGCTCAATCCGCCCTTCAATACCCACCCCCTTGCCCCCCCCCCCCCCCCCCCCCCTGCCCCCTTTCTTTTCCAGTGGATCCGCTCCCTCTCCCCACTCACCACCGTGGTGGTCGAGATGGACGCGCCACTCAACTAGCTTTCCCCTTTCCCCCCTCCTCCTATCCCCTGCACCCCAACCTCGTCCAGTGGATTCGCTCTCTCTCACCACTCACCACCGTGGTGGTCGAGATGGACGCGCCACTCAACTCGCCCTTCTTCCTTCCGCGCTTCCGTGCCGCCCTCCGTGTCTTCTCCTCCATCTTTGCCTCTCTCGACGCTGCCTTGCCACGGGATAGCCCGCACCGCCACACGTGTGAGCGCCTCTATTTCGCCCGCGACATTGTGAATGTCGTGGCCTGTGAGGGCATCCAGAGGACAGTTCGGGCGGAGAGTCTCGAGCAGTGGCAGGCTCGGATGCGCCGAGCCGGATTTGTAGGTTTGGAGGCGGGGTGGGAGGTGATGGAGGAGCTTAGAGGGGTGTTGAGGAAGGGAGGGAGGAAGTATGGGGGGTATGAGGTGGTGCAAGAAGGGAATGGAGTGAGGTTGCTGTGGGAAGGGGTTCCTGTACTGGCTGCCTCTATGTGGCTGTAAATTTTTGTACATGTTTTGCGGAATGAATTCGCGTGTGATTGTTGGTGTTCAAATAAAAAACAAGGTGATGGTGGATAAAAAAGGCAGGCAAATGTCATTCATCAATTGTAAAGTGGAGCAATGTAAGGTAGCTAGTTTGACTCACATGGCTTCACTGAACCCATACACATACCTAGTAGGAGCCACCTCGAGCCAAGCTAAAGCCATGCCAAGATAATGAAGCACAAGGTTAAAGACGGTTATATTATTTTGTGCGCGTCCAAACAATCATCCCATCATATATTACGCGATAGTACACCACGCGTACAGTTAAAACATTTGGCAAGCAGCCCCAGAACGGTTCGTGACCTGCCCGTGTTCGCGCGCCGGGCAGATGCTTTCGCTTTTCGCTGCAACGGTCACACCACACACACTGCCACTGATGATTGTTTGGAACAGGCAGTCATCTGCCCAAGATTGATTGTGGTGGTCCAAGCGACAGCAAGAAGGGCAACTGGCCCATGTGGCTTGTGGTGCAAGCCACAGATTCCTGCCAGGTTGCTGTCTCATTCGCCGACGAAAGATTGCTCGAAAGTGGTTCTTCACTTTCGACCGTGAAAATCGTTCCCTTTTGAGTGCAGCAGTTCACTGTACACTGTAGTACAGCTCAGCCTACCACTTTCTTCAAGCAGCTAGCCGATCTTGTACAAACATGTGATTTGTCTATACATGAAATGCTCATTACGGGCATGCCAGGGTTTAGGGTCCCGCACAACTCCCCTACTTCGCATAGGAGAAATATTGTGGATGTGGAGAAATCATGTTTAGCACTTTTATAATATCCGGGGAAGCCGTGGATGATAGCACTTGTTGCTATCCATACGTTTGGGGCTTCAAATAAGGCAACTGTTGAAGGTTCTACTGTTGGGTAGGTGATTTGTCCGTGTTGATTTCCATAAGGGATGGTTAGAGAGCATGATGTCCTGGTTAAAACTAAATGTATTTCATACTTGCAAGATCCTGAATTTTACCCAATGATTTGTCATTTTGGCCCTATACCTCTAAGCAATTTAAGCTCTTATTACACATTTGAAGGCCCTAACATGGTTTTATACAGGCTCGATTGAGCTTCCATTAGAGCCCATGAGGTGCTAGTTTTGCCTTACATGAATTCCCATGTAATGACCCTCATTTCCCTGCCCTTCCATACATATAATTTTGGCACCCCAACAAGTATTTGTTTTGATATGAAGTAAAAAAAAAAGACGGGTCATAAAACATGGCATTTGTAAGCCCCAAGCAGTGAAGCTGGATGTATATACAATACAGAAATTATTATACGAATGCATAGACATGATTTGTTTGTTTTTTTTTTTTTTTAACCAATACCATTTTGAAGATTTGTTGAGTTTGTGTTTTCTTCATTTGCCTCAATTGCTAATTTGGAATTTGCATGGGAAAAATCCCAATAGTGCAGCAGACATTCGAAGTAACAATTCTTATATTTTGATATTGGTAATCGAACAAATCAAATAATCCCAAATAATAACTCGATGTGCATAAATGAATGGTCATAATCATTTAACATGTCTCATTACTAACGAGTTATGGAATCCATGTAGTTCAAGATAATCTGCCACATTTCAAAATCTCAAAGCATGCAAATAAATTGAATTTATCAGCTGCTATTAACTTTTGCCAAAAGCCAAATGCAATTAGTTGTCTTGCTAGTTCTATTTGTATCCTGATCAGTTAATCCAACACAAACACTTCTACAATCCAATGTAAGGCACCATCTTAGTATGGCGAGATCCAATATGAATCGATACGTCTCCATTTTTCTGGGAATCTTGTAACCTTTTAACAAAGCAACCCCGTATGGCAATTGTTTACGCCGGGAAACTTGTGGAATATAGGTCATCTTGCAATAGCATATAGAATACAATAATCCGAAACTATTTCGATAGTAGGTATGAGATCACAAATCTTCTTTGCGATGCTCACACAATATACAAAATATTTTAAAAATATACTTACATAAACATTTTGTCCGTATCGATTTGCCACATATACTGGATAAAACAGCAAATGAACCAAAGATACTGGATAGTGTCAGATTTATATGACATAGCTACTGTAGGCTATAGTGGGGTAGCACATGTCAGAACATATATATAGCTTATGCTGTTGTGTAGGCTATAGTGGGGTATCCCATAGGGGGTACAACCCAATTAGGGTTTCCTATATGTACTCACTTCATTCATAGTTCATTCATTCTTGTTCAAATCTTCTCATGGTATCGAGCAGGTTCCCCCTTGGGAACTGTGCTTAGGGCCCACCACATCGATTTTTTTTCCTGCCCGAAGCGCGCTCAGCCCGAGTCGCGCTCCGGGCCCTCACTCCGTCGAGCCGCCCTAGCGGCCCTTCACTGCGGCCCCGCCACTCGTCTCAGCGGCCCCGCCGCCCGTCTTCGCGGCCCCGCCGCCTCTCTCCTAGCGGCCCCGCCGCCCTACCTAGCGGCCCCGCCGCCCTACCTCGCGGCCTCGCCGCCCTATTGCGCGGCCCCGCCGCCCTACCTAGCGGCCCCGCCGCCCTTACTCGCGGCCTCGCCGCCCCATTGCGCGGCCCCGCCGCCCTACCTCGCGGCCTCGCCGCCCCATCGCGAGGCCCCGCCGCCCTACCTAGCGGCCCCGCCGCCCTTCCTCGCGGCCCCGCCGCCCCATCGCGCGGCCCCGCCGCCCTATCTAGCGGCCCCGCCGCCCTTCCTCGCGGCCCCGCCGCCCCATCGCGCGGCCCCGCCGCCCTTCCTCGCGGCCCCGCCGCCCCATCAGCGGCCCCGCCGCCCTATCAAGCGGCCCCGCCGCCCTTCTCTGCAGCGGCCCCGCCACTCCTCTACAGCGGCCGAGCCGCCCAGCAGCAGCGCAGCCGAGCCGCCCAGCAACAGAGCAGCCGAGCCGCCCAGCCGTCGAGCCGCCCTGCAGCCGAGCCGCCCGGGAGCCGAGCCGCCCTGCCGCCGAGCCGCCCTGCCGCCGAGCCGCCCGGGAGCCGAGCCGCCCAGCAGCCGAGCCGCCGAGCCGCCCAGCTGCCGGGCCGCCCTACTGCCGAGCCGCCCGACCTGCCCTGCCTGGTGAGCACAGCACCACTGTTACTGCGTGCCCTTCCCCTACTGCTTGCACTACTACACTGTCGTCGTCATGGCTACCCCTAGTGTCCTCGCTTTTGACGCTGAGGGTCGAGCCATTGACTTTGAGGTCTGGGTCGACGACCTGCAGCTGTTCTTACAGTGCGATAGGGCGGACGGTCTTTCCCTCTTTGACCTCACCTCTGGCGCCTCTCCTGCCCCTGCTGCTGATGCTGACCCCACTGTTCGCTCTCAGTGGGCCACCCGCGATGCTGCTGCACGTCTTGCTGTGCGTCGCCACCTGCCTACCACTGAGCGCGCGCACTTTAGTCAGTACAAGAGTGCTCAGACCTTGTACGACGCTGTAGTTGCGCGCTACTCTTCCCCTGCCACTGCTGCCCTGAGCCGCCTCATGCTACCGTACCTCTTTCCTGACCTTACTGCCTTTCCCACTGTCGCTGACCTCATTACGCACCTCCGCACTAGTGACACTCGCTACCGCGCCGCCCTTCCTGCTGAGTTCTGCGCCAAGAACCCCCCCCCCATGTACATCACTCTCTATTACATAGTCACACGCCTCCCTGACTCCCTTCGCGTAGTCAGGGACCACTTCCTCTCAGTCTGTCCCACCACTCTCACTGTCGACCTCCTCGAGAAGTCCCTCCTGGCGGCGGAGAAGAGCATCGTCGCTGTAGGAGCCTCTCGTGGTGACCCTCGCACCCCCATCTTTGAGGGGTGTTCTCCTTCCCCCCTGCTGCCCTCTGTTGCCTCTGCTGCTGCTGCCGACCTGCTTGGTCTTGAGTCGGTCTGCGCGGCGTCTGCCCCTAGCGGGAGACGCCGCCCTGGCAGGGGCAAGGGGGGCAAGGGCGCGGGTGGAACTGGCGGGGGCGGTGGAGGTGGCGGTGGAGGCGGCGGAGGGAGTGGGGGTGGCGGTGGGAGTGGTGGCGGGGGCGGTGGTGGCGGTGGCAGCAGCGGAGGAGGAGGCGGTGGTGGCGGCAGCGGTGGGAGCGGAGGCAGCGGTGGTGGTGGAGGTGGAGGCGGCGGTGGCGGAGGGGGTGGAGCTGGTCGGGGTGGTGCCCCGCAGCGTAGCGGCTCTGGTGGTGGCCAGCGTCAGCAGCAGCAGCAGCAGCAGCAGCGTTCGCGGGACATCCCCCCGCCCCAGCAGCTCCGTGAGTGGTACACGCAGCGTCAGCGGGGTGGGGGTTTTGGTCCGTGCACCTACGTCCTTCGTTCCGGCGACCGCGCGGGTGAGCAGTGTGGGGGTGCCCACCCCACCCAGCGCTGCTTTGGCCGCCTGACGGACGCTTGGCGTCAGCAGTTCCCCGAGGCCAGTGAGATTCCCCGTTGGGGAGAGCTGTCTAGGGCTGGCGTAGCTATCTTTGATCTTGACTTTGATGCTATCCTTGCTGCCATGTATGCTGTGACTATTAGTGAGGAGGGTGACTGTTACCGGTGTTTCCCGCCCGACCCGGGCATTGGTACTGCTGCGCCAGGTACTTCTGCGGCTGCTGCTCTAGGTGCCAGTGCGTCTGCACTCTCAGGTACTGGTGAGGCTGCGCTCTCAGGTACTGCGTCGGCTTCGGCCTCCCTCACCTTCACGCTTGACTCAGGGGCTTCTCGCTCCTTCTTTCGAGACCGCACCACACTCACGCCGCTTGGCCGGCCGGTTGCAGTCTCCCTGGCTGACCCCTCTGGGGGTCCTGTCCTCTCTCACTTCTCCACTGTCCTCCCGTGTCCGGCTGCCCCCTCGGGCACCTTGTCTGGTCTGTACCTCCCCTCGTTCTCGACGAACTTGGTGAGTGGTGCTGACCTGCAGGATGCGGGGGTTCACCAGTTTACTCCTGCGAGTCAGCGGGTGACCCACTGCTCGGACGCCCGCACAGGCCGACACCTGGCCACG